CGTGTACTGTGGTAGCTGCTGTTAGCAGAGACTTCGGGCAGCCGTGTACTGTGGTAGCTGCTGTTAGCAGAGACTTTGGGCAGGCTTGTACTGTGGTAGCTGCTGTTAGGAAAGTCAGGCGCATGTGTCAGAAAGTAGCAGCTACAGGAAACCTACCCAGGGTCGCTATGAGCCGGAACCCACTCAACGGCACTTAACAATAACCCCGAGAACAGGGAAGAGAGTCTTGTGTTGTGAAGCGATACGTGACCCTGTTTGGGGTGGAAGGAACAGAACTTGGTGACTGATAAGATGTGTGTATGTGGGGTCTGGGGAGTGGGGATGGAGCCCAGAGACAGAGGGAGAGAAGAGGCTGAGAAGCGTGAGAGAGAGGAGGTTTAAATTTAATCAAAACAAAATCTCAGCTGACCAACAAAGAACTCTAAATGAGTCCCTCCATCATCTACCTGCTGCTGCAGGGCACCTCCCCTGAGAAGTTAAGTACTGAGACCCTGCCAGCTCTGACACTGAAGAACAAATCAAGCCAAACCCATAGAGTCCCTACTGCTCCATAGGGCTCTGAGACTACACATTTTTGTGAGGGCAAACAGCGTCATCTTTCTCTCTCGGAGCTGCTGGTGGGTTTGAATTGGCAAGCTTTCTATGGGCAGCCCAATGTTTAACCCACTGTACCACCAGGGCTCCTGGAACATTTTTTTAAAGGACTCAAGAAACACAGTTAGCACTAAGTCGGTGGGTATAACTGCAGCTGCTCCATCCCATCATGATGACTGATACCCCACCCTCTGGCTGGGAAAGATACGGCTTTTCAGGCCTGGGTAGATGACTAATCAAGTGCGCTGGGCCCTCCAAGAGCATGGCCAGGTCACCAGGAGAAGGTTACAAAGCAGGTGGTCTGAAGAAGCCACTCCAAGGAGCTGCTACAGGAAAAGCCCAATCTCCTCTTAGGGCCAGGTCAGGTGGCTGCTAGCTTTCTTAAGGTCCAGCTCCTGTGAGCTAGACCTCAGCTCGGTTGGGGAGGAGGTCTCTTGGTCAGGGCTCTCCAGCGGGGAAAGAGCAGCTGTGGAGTTAATGAGCTGGCTGCCCAGTGTCCCCTCAGAAGTCCTGACAGTAAGTAGTCTTGGGTCATACCTCGAAGTTGGTGTTGTTGCTGTATGGGTGTTTCGACTCTCTCACTTGCACCTCCATTCCCGGCTCCTCCATGAACTGACAGGCAGCCAGGGCCATGGTCCCCAGCATGTTCTCTCGGCAGCCTTGGAGCACCTTCTGCAGGATCTGATGGGACACAAGGCAGGGGACATGAGGGCCTACTAGTGGCAGGGCCCAGAGCTGGGCCATCAGGAGGAAGGGAGCGTTTATCTCCATCCAACACCCCCTGAAGGGGCTGGCATCATGTTGCCCCCTGTAGCCCCACCCCAGCAGCCACTTCGCCCTTGAAGAGGGCCACACTATGTGTCAGGACGCTGCAGTCCTGTCAGAAGAACTGCTGCTTCAAGGGCTACTGAGTGCTGACCCTCACCACAGATGCATGGACACACACATAAACAATTACATGCAGTGTGACAAGCGTGCGGATGAGGTGCAGGATGAATCTCTAAGTGGGGTGAGAATGGGGGAAGAAGGCTGTATTTGGGACTGGAATGATCGGAGAGCTGTAATTTACCCCGTGCCCTGGAGTTAGCATTGTGCCCTGAGGCGCATGAGAAGAGACCCTCTAGCCAGGAGATTTAGACTTGTAAGTACCAAACAGAAAAGGGAAAATGCAAAGGCAGGTGTCATGGGATCATTATTTCAAATGTTCCCTGAGCATCAAGTCAGTCCAGGGCCAGTCTCAGAAGAGTCCAACAGTCAGCCTGTGTCGGTTCCATCCACACCTGTCAGATGCTCCAGCCACATGGCAGACCCCACTCCAGGGAGGCACTCACTGGAGGAAGTCTGTGCCAAGATGGTGGGGGCAGCAGAGCTGGGGGAGGGCGGGCTGAGCGGGGCCTGCCGGGGTGCGTGCATGGCTGGCCTGCTTCACTACCTTCTCCCACTGTTGCTTTTCTTCCAGCTGCATGAACATATCCAAGATATAGGTCATGTGGGCAGGGCCGCTCAGCTCCAGGATGTCCTCACTCACTGGGACGTGCTCCGGCCACTTGGCGAGCAGGGACGCCAGAACGTGGCGGGCATAGAGAACAGCTGTGGCCTCGTTCACGCGGAAGAGGTAGTCGCGGACAGCCCTCTTGGTCTTGCAGTTGAGCTCCTTGTGCAGGAGGGCGGCACTCTTGCTGCGGCGCTGCTTGGCGTAGCTCTGCTGCAGCTCACTCTCCGTGCTGGAGATGAGCTTCTGGGTCACGGGATTTGATTCAGCAGTGGCCTGATCGCAGCGTGCTGGCCGGGACTGCAAAAACCAAAGGACCGCCGTTACAGGGGCTTGGCCTTCTCACAAAGGGCAGCGGGGCACTTGCTTCAAAAGTGGAGACTACATACCAAGCATGGCAAGATAATCATGTCCGTATCCACGGCTTTTGCACTTTGCTCTTCCAGTCTCAGACTCCTGCTAGGCTGCCACCTCTGAGCCAGGGTCCGGATCCTCTCATCAGTCGTGAGCTCATCGCCATCAAACCTTCAGAAAAGGGCCTAGAGTTGGGCACATGCCTTACAGAAAGGTAAGAATTTAACCTGCACTTGGATTACTTTCCTGTTACTGTGTAATTACAAGATCACATCCCATATTTTGCTACTGGAACTCACAGCATTCATTTATTCCTGCATGTGGATGTGTACCTGTGCCCTTGTGGCAGAGAACGCAGACTGCCCCCAGGACCTGTTCTCCCCTTCTGTGCTTTTAGGAAAGGAGTCCTAGGGGCACAATGGTGGAACTTTCAGCTGCAAACCAAAACGTGATCTGCTCCCACAAAGACAACAGCCTAGGAAACCCTATGGGGCTCTTCTACTCTGTCCTATGGGGTTGCTGTCCATCAGAATCCAGCACCAACAGCATACTTTTAGAAACAAAGTTCCGTGGAGTTTTAGTGGGGCATATGATCACCCAGCTAGAGAACACAGCTCCCAGGACCCCCTGCAGCTAGATGCAGTACCGCAACTAAGTTCTTACCAAGAGGACGTGACAAGGTAAATGCGTAACACTTGTAGGCCTTAGCTTCGAACTGGTGTGAGGAGGTGCTACATTCCCCTTCCTCTGGGGAACTTGCTGGAACCATGCAGATGAGAACAATCTCCCTGGGGTGACTGGGTCACCCTGTCGAGCACGGCCATCCATCTACCCTGGATGACTGCTGACCTCTGGACTATTGTGTGACAGAAAAACAAACTTCTCTCATCCTTGATCCATGTTACTTTTGGGTGTCTTAGCTACAGCTGATGAGACTATGCCTAATGGAGTCCTGCTCCACCTCACAAAGGATTTGAAGCAATATATAAGAAATATATAGAGTAAATAGAGAAAGGAAATAAAAAATAAACTTAGAGTTTAATATAAATGATAGCAACCCACTGCCACTGAGTTGATTCTGACACACACTAACCCTACAGGACAGACTGTAAATCCTTATGGAACAGACAGCCTCATCTTTCTCCCACAGAGTGGCTGGTGGTTTTGAACTGCTGACCTTGTGGTTTAGCAGTCCAACACCTAACCCAATATGCCACCAGGAGTCCTTATAAATTTTAATAGGAAATAAAAATTAGGATATGTGAAATGGAGAAGGAGGCTGGAATACAGATATATCAAGGTTTTCACAATTTATAAAGAACTGGGCCAAAGAACAAGCTCTCTTGGCCAAGAAAAAGAGAAGACGATTACTTTTATATTAATTCTTGAGGAAAGCACATGAAAATAGTTTATAGTTGTGCAAACGACTTTGCACTTGGTGTCTACCTCAATTTCTGTATCTATAAAATGAGCTTACTCTAAAAAGCAGACTGCAGATGTAAAGTTGTTCCAAAAGGAACACAGAATCCTCTTTAAAAAATGATCCAACGCAGTGCAGTACAAGTCAGTTTCCGTGTCACTTAAGACAACTAAAAACAAGTTGCACACCTGCTTCCAAGGCCATTCTGGATCTGACTCAGGATTCTGACCAGAAGTAAGTGCTCTCCTGCCCTCCCGCGTTCTCTCACCACACTTCAGCTTCAGCTTCATCTGCAGGTCCCTTACCTCTTTTGAACCTCCAGGAAGAAAGAATCGGTTCGTTTCATCTGCAGTTCGTATATGGCCCGGAGAACGTGCAGAGGGGCACTGAGGGCATCGTGAGCCATCTGAAGACCATGGGGAGGAAGCAGAAGAGAGCAATTAAAAATGTTTCAATACATTATTGATACTCTGAACTCAGAAGTGACACAAGGGTATTTCAAGTTACTATAGGCTGTAATCTTAAAATATCATAGGGTGTCTTTAAAAATATAAAATAAGAAGCACTGAACACATGGATTGCAAACTCTACGATGCTATTCTAAATCAAAGGAAAATGAAAAACACTGAGACGAGAAATATTATACTAGCAAAATACAATGCTAATAGCCTTTGAGTATTGAGTAATAATCACCCACAATCCTGTATTCATTGCTAGCTTCTCTGTAGTTCCTTTGTGCACAAATCTGACTGCTGGCATACACTCTAAACACTGCGCTTTCTCTGACTGTCTTTTTTAACGCTATGTCCTTGTTTTTCTGATATCTACCCAATACTCTGTTTACTCTTCAAGCCCTGAGCCACTTCCACCTTATCTCACAAGAGTGGTCTCTGCAGGGAAATTAAGAGAATGTGTCCAAGAAACTATGAGTTAGAGAACTAGTATTTGGGAGTTCGTGGGTGGGCTTCAGTAAGCCCTGAAAATCACACGCAAAATTTTACAAGGATATAAATGTGCATTTTATGGACAAGAAGTCTAAAGCTTTTGGGTCCATGATACAAAAATGTTAAAAATTGCCACTGTAAAGAATTTTCAGTTTTTCTGGGTCAATTCTGCACAATACATTGAATCTCCAGGAAGTGAATCTCAGGACATCAGACTCAAGCACTTTTAGACAATCAAATCTTCAGAATGCTCTGCTCAAGCCACATGATGATCCACAAAACATACCAAGAAACATATTCTGGTGGGTTCATCCAGGCTTTCAAGCGGATCTAGCTTTTTCTGCTCGGTTTCACTGGGACTGCTGACTGAGTGCTCCATCTCCTCCTCCTGGTCCCCTCGCTCATTCAGCTCTAGGGCTCCATGCTCTGCCAAGGTGTGGATCTCCTTTTTCGAGGAGTACAGCATGATGGACAGAATCTACAGAGAGAGAAAGTCAGCCAGGGCAGCAGCGTGGGCACTCAGTGGGTAACACAGTTACTCAATCAATACCTCAGCCACCTCAGGGTACAGACATTTTGACCGAACTCACCAAACAACGTAAAATTAGTAAACAAACATGAAAACATGTTCAATTGCACTTGTGATTTAAATGATGCTAAAACTATGAAAGACCTTTGTATTTATTAACACCTGTATTGACAGTATAAACAGATGTCATCCTTTATGGGGGCATTTTGGCAAAATGTAAATCACCATCAAAGTGTTCAGATCCTCTGACCCAGTAATTCATCTTTTGGGAATGATGTAAACTATTGGTATTGTTAAGTGCTGTCGAGTTGATTCCAACCCATAGCAATCCTGTATTGGGTTTCTGAGGAGCAGCTGGTGAGCTTGAACCGCTGACCTTGCAGTTCAAATGACTTTGCAGTCTGACACACTAGTCCACAGCACCACACCAGGACTCCAATGATCATATTATGAATATAATGTTTTCTAATGTAAACTATAGAAAATATTATATTCATAATATGACCAATGAAGCATTAACAATGGCAAAATGAAAACAACTTTCATGTGTCATATGCAGCCATTAGAATGGTGGATATGATATGGAAACTACATAACAACTTAAAGACGTTCATCATATGGCTTCAATCTATTTAAATACCACACTCAAATTTAAATTTATATAATTTCTATTTACATAATATAGGAGCACAGGAAAAAAGTTAGGTGGAGGACATATACCAAAATACTGATGGAAGTTTAAGATACAAAATTTGGTGATTTGCTTTCTTTGCTAATTCTCACATTTTCTGGAAAGTGGTTCTATTCTTCAAATAATAATACTAAAATATTTCAAGAGAATAGGAGTTCCAAATGCTCCAGGTTGACTACTCCTATATCTCAGCATATGTTCCCTGAACCCTAACCAAACCATTGGGGGAAAACTAAGAACACTGTCACTTTGAGCTCAGGCCTCTGGGTTTCCAATGGCCAGTCCCCCAGGCCTACACAACAGCAGCCTTTTCTGGACTGAAAGCTGGTCCTTGGCACAGAAAGTGGATAGGGAACCATAGCAATTCTGCTACGACAAATTTACAGAGAATAGTCATAAAGTCAAAATTACCAACTAAAATCCTACATAAAATAAACAGGATTGAAGACAAATTTAGAACCTGATTTTAGTCCAAAAGAATGCTAAAGAAGGGCATGTGGTGGCTCTAAAGGATAAGTACTGGGCTGTGAACCACAAAAGACCACTAATGGGAAATAACAATTCGAGGACATTCTTTATCACTCTGTGTTCCCATGAAGCACATCTCTTCCAATGGTCTTTGAACAAACATAAATTCACTTTGTCTGACCCAGAGGAGGACCCATGCCATCATCCCCATTTCCAAATGGGAAGTCAGGTGAAATGTACAGTTTGAAACTGCCCAGGAGGAGAGCACATCGGGCAGAACCCCTCGTGGTGAACTGACGCATCTAACCCTAGAAGGTGACCTGGTACACGTGATAGGAGAAGCAGCCACCCTCAGTCCTTACCTCCAGGTCACGGAGGAGCCACGTTTTACTAAAACCGGTCCCTTTGCTGCATTTTTTCACCAGAAGTTTCAGCAGATCTGTCTGGAGGAGGGTAGCGTGTGTCTCTTCAAAACCATGAACCTGCCAAGCAGACCAAGAATGATTCGCACCTGCCTCAAAATCTGAAGAAGGGAAGGGCGATGTCAGCCTTTCACAGATCCCAGTCTCAGCTGGTGGAAAACAGAAGTGTTTCAGGATAGATGAAACTCTGAACCTTAACCATTGTCCACTGTCTGCTCATTCATTCTTTAATTCATTCACTCACCAAACATTGTTGAAGCCTAGCATATTCTTCATGCTGACTCCTATGCTATGAACACGTTTCTGTTGCTCCCACAGTCAACCTTCTAAAAGCTTCTCACTGTGCTAAGACTAAATCCAAGCCCCTACATGGCTGACAAGGTCCTACCTGGCTCCCTGCCTGTTTCTCTGGCTTCAGTCTATTTGAATGCCATGCACTCTCCTGTAGGTATTCTTCCTGTTACTTGACAACGATGCCTGTTGGAAGGCCTTAAGACTTCAACACTGCTGTCCTCTCAGTGGAACGCTTGCCCTGGTTTCCGACGGCCTTGTCTATCTACTGCCTCTGAAAGACTTTTCTTGACTCATGGCAGCCTCCCTTGAAACCTGCCTGCTGTCTTTGAGAGCTTTCCTAGTTCACCACTAAACACTGAGTTACGTCTGGCACTTGGCAGTGCTTGGCGGGTATTTACTAAAGAGAGGATTCAGAAGTCAAAATGGTCTATGGCCTCAGAAGCCTATTTTCTCTCTCAACTCTAACAGTCCTAGGAAGTAGCAGTACCTGGTTCCCTAGAATGGTACTGAAAACACACAGACAACCAAACTACTGGGAAAAGTCTATTTCATCCTTAAAGTTATGCTTGTGCAAAAGCCCTATGATTCCTAAAATAAGCAAGATGCTACGGTTTTTGGAAATCATTGAAATCCATGAAAATCAGACGACATTTCCTTCTACTTAAGTCCCTACAGATATAAATCAAAGCCAGAGAAATGACCAAGCTGAAGAAAGTCACTGTTACCTTGAGTGTTTTGTACAACCCTTTGAGTGCCAGGGACAGGATCCATGTTGCTTCCACAGCCTCGGGACAATGGCTGTCCATGCTGGTCTGCAGAAGGTGACTGGCGATGAAGGCAAAGTGCTGGGAGTACTGGCTCAGCTGGGCCTGAGAGTCACTGCATTCCTGTCCACCTCCCTTCTGGACCAGTTGATAGTCCTTCACTGAAGGAGGATGTCAGGCAGAAAGAGAAAGGCACAAAGGGGTAATGTCAGTGCTTCCGACAGCTCTCCAGTACGTGCCTTACTAAAGTAGAAATGCAGACCCTAAAACATAAAACCTTCCTGACTTCAATCTTAGCCATGATACTTAAGGTCAGCATACAGGTGAGCACAAAAATGGTAGCGGGTACCTATTCACCAAGCAACTGAGGGAGACAATTTACAATTCCTACCACCATGGTGTGACGCTGTGGGCTAATGCGCTGGATTGCAAAGTCAGTTTGAACCACAAGGTTGGTGGTTCAAGTTCACCAGCGGCTCCTTGGAAACCCTATACAGGGTCAGCACTGACTCGACGGCACTTAGCAACAACAATAACCACCACCATGGACAAGCAGGTTGTTTTCAAAGGCATTCAAGAAAATTGGACCATGGAATGGTCAATCATTCAAGATCAAAAGGGCAACACTTACCTAAGGACAAAGTTGAGCAGGGATGGGAAGGAGGATGGAATGGACATAGAACCACAGGGAGGAAGTGGGAGAACTGTTGCTGTATGGAGGGGATTGTAATCATTGAGATGGAACAAAATACATGATATGCTGAATGTAAAACTGATGAGCTTGTCTGTAAACTTTCACTCAATTCATAATTAAAAAATTTTTTTTAATTAGTGTAAGTGAGACTTCCACTTCCAAACAAGATAGAGTAAGAAAGACTGTATTTATTCTTCTACCTTAAATAGCCAGAACACTGAGAAAATATAGGAAACAATGGTTGTTAAGACAATGGGCTACCACCTCCGAGAAAGGAGACACAGATGAGGCAAGTCCTTTGGTGTACCAGATGTCTGAGGCCATTTCCAGCCAGCAGAGGGAGCAGAAATTTAGTTAGAGTCCAGTGACTGTGTGGTGCTGTGTGGAGCTTGAACCATAAGGTCGCTGGCTCAAACTCACCAGTAGCTCCTCGGAAACCCTCCATTGGGTCACCATGAGTCGGAACTGACTCGAAGGCACCTAACAACAACAACAATCTCAATGAGGGAGTCCTGGTGTGACGCTGCAGGGTAAGCACTGGACTGGTAGCTAAAACGTTGGCAGTTTAAACTCATCAGTCACTCCTGACTGATGGCACTTAACAACAACAATTTCAGCGTATACAGAGGGGACAGAGATCCAGATTCACGCAAGCCAGAGCAACTAAAATTTATGGAGCAGGATACCGTAGAGAATGGAGGTGCACACACACACAGAAAAAGAGAAAGCAAACTCCAGAAATCCACAGAGGATTCCCCAGGAGTCTTAGGCTGAGTACTGATCTTCAGCTATGTGAGAGGAAATTGTCTAAGAAAGAAAGGGGAAAGCACTTCCAAAATAGCAACTGGCAGGACATTTCCTGGGCTCACACAGAGCTCGGAGTATTTTTGTTCCCTTGTAGCATAAGAAGCAACATCAAGAACCCTCTGAAAGGTACTTCCTTAGTTGTTGTTGTTAAGTGCCGTGGAGTTAGTTCTGACTCATAGCAACCCTGTGTGGGTTTCTGAGGAGCAGGTGGTGAACCTGAACCACCAACCTTGTGGTTCAGACCGACCTTGTGAACCAGGGTATTCTCACACAGCGTCGCTAAATTCGCCCTAGATTAAAGGCTGCTCAGAAGTCATCCTAGCAAGGCTTAAAAGCCAGGTCCATCCAGATGAACATCAGTCTTCATGACTCTGAGACCAGAAGAACGATGGTGCCTGGCTACCACTATCAACTTCTCTGAAAAGTAGCACATTAAAAGGTTCTAGGTAGACACTCGACACCGATAAGGGGAAGTGAGGGAAAAACAGCAATGAAGTGGTGAGCTAAGCCCTACAACGTTCAATAGACTTATGTGAACCTGGGTGAAGACCTGGTTGGCCAGCAGTGTGGCAAGACCTAGGGACTCTTGGGCCCAGAGTCAGTGACATAGCCAAAGAGGACTAGAGTGGAGAGTGAAGCTTCCAGCTGATAAGAAGAGAGGGCATATGCACAAGAACACCCATACTTGCAGATAATACCCACTTATCCTGGCTTCAGTGACTGGATGATCAGAGCTCAACCAGAAGTAAAAAGAAGGGGAAAAAAAAAAAAGTATTCTCATACAATTTGATGAACTTGACCTACACCTATGGAAGCAATAGCTCAAAAGAGGGAATAAGTCCTTACAGCAAGAATCATTCCTACCCTCTCCACACAGAGTAGACAGGGATGGGCAACTTGGACATTGGCTACCCAAAATGGAGGGCAGGGGGCTATAAAGGTAAGAAGTGACTGGCTTACAAGCTTTCAAGAGGGAACCTAGATCCAGAGGGCCTGGAGGAAGGTAGACTCTCCAGTGAGTAGTATTCCATCTGACTAGGCGGGGCTGATGCAATGAAATGCAGACGGGTCTCTTGTGATACAATAGTGAATAATTGTTATCAGGACTGATTATGAGGGTTGGAAATGTAAAGGTAGATGTTTTATAGCAAGGAGGGGAGTGATTAACTTTTCAGTCTAGGAGCGGAGGTCCCTAGGACCATCAAGGGAGAAGAGCAGAGAGCGGGACCCTACCCAGAGAAGCAGTGATGCCTGAAATGGAGCCAGAGATGATGATGTGGAGTGATGGAGCAGCTGGAGGCTTTAGATCCAGAGAGGGAGAGTGACTGTGTGCTGAAGACCTGGGGGGGTACGGGGGAAGGATTGCATGGAGGGGATTGTAACCATGGCAATGAGATGATATACGATAGAATGAATGTAAAACTAATGTTCTCCCATGTACACTATCACATAATTCACAATAAAACATTTAAGAAAAAAAAAAAAAGGTTCTAGGTAGAGTGGGAGAAAACGTGAAAAGAAACCTCATCTTGGTCATAAAAAAAGACCAAGCTTGTTGGTCAGATAGAGACTAGTGGAACCTTGAGACTATGACCCTTGGTCACCCTTCAAGTCTGAAACTGAACTCATCCCCATGGCTCAGTTTTCAGCCAGAGTAGACAGCAACAGATGGGGGACAACACCACCAGTGAGGTACGCACATCATAGAATGATCAAAAGTGTAGCATTTACCTAAGGATAAAATTCAGAAGGTTGGGTAAGAAGGAGGAATGGAAACAGGAAACACAGGGAAGAAGGGGGATAAGTGAAGTTACACTGAGGAGGATTTCAATCAATGAGAGGAAATGAAGTTTATGATTTGTTGCCTGAAATTGGCGATCTGCTCTGTAAACCTTCATTTAATTCCCAATAAGACATTCAAAAAAAAAAAAGGCAAGATCCAAGAGGATGTGACTAATTGCAAGTAACTTATTGGTATACCAGAGCAGAATCTAACACTAGGAAAAGCACTGGACTGCAAGGTTGTTTGAACTGCAAGGCCGGCTCAAACTCACCAGCCACTCCTTGGAAATCCTATTCAGGGTTGCTATGAGTCTGAACCAACTTGATGGCACTTAATAACAACAACACATAAAAAAAGGAAGTATCAACAACATGAAATTCATATCTGGCATGATTCAAAAATCACCAGGCATCTAAAGAAGCAGTAAATGCTTAATTATATTGGCAAAAAAGAAAATTTTCATCTCGGTGATCTAGATTTCCACCTTAAAAACCTAATAGGGGGAAAACGCAATTATACCCAAAGCAAACAGAAAGAAGGAAATTAATAATGATGAGTGCAGAAATGCAAAGCAAAACAAAAATAATACAGGAAAAAAAAATCAATAAAGCCAAAAGTTAGTCCTTTGAAAAGATCAAAAGTTGATAAATGTCTACCCAGATTGTCTAGGAAGTAAAGAAGATACAAATGACCAAATGCAGGAGTGGGAGAAGGCAGCTGGTACCCCATGCCACCTAAATGTTATAGGGAGCGCGCTAGCTCCATAAGATAAACACTGGACTTCGAACCACAAAGACTGCATTTTGAGCCTGGCAGTTGCTCTGCGGGAGGAAATTCAGGCTTTCTGTTCCCACAGATTTAAATCAGCCTCAGAAACCTTATACATGGTTGCTATGAGTCAGAACCGACTCCAAGGCATTTAACAATAACAACAAATGTTCTAAGACTTACACTCATTTCCTGGGCGCTATAAATGGTTGATGGACTTCGCTGCCAACCATAAGTTTGGAGGTTCACGTTCATCCAGAAGCATTGCAGAAATAAGGACTGGGGATCTAGTTCTGTAAAATCAGCCACTGAGAAATCTAGGGAGCACTGTTCTACTCTGAAACCCTGGAGTCACTAGGAGTCAGAATTGACTCAATGGCAATAAAGCAAATGGAGAGAATAATGCTCGGAATGTAATATCTGGCCAACCAAAATGCACATACCCAGACACACAAAAACTGTGGAAAGGGGTCGATTCAACTATGTATTTCAGAGATGAAGAAAAGTTATAGCCATAACTTTCTTTTAAAATAAATCACATTACAAGGGCAAGAATCAAGGTACATTTGTTAATTTTAGGACGTACAAAGACTAAATAGGTTTCATCCATTCTTACAAAAACGAATTACGCTTGAGACCTGTTTTTCTTTTCCGGGTTTTGACATCGACGATGACAGCCCGGTTCTTCTCAGTGAAGTGCTTCAGGATGATCACACTATGTGGCTCATTGGCATTATCCATATAAACACAGCGGGTCCCCACACAGAGGACCTAGAGCATGACAGAAAGGCAGAAAAGGCAACTCAATAGTGCACTGAGACAAGAAAGAGCATGTTAGAGGCCCATCAGCTCAGTCCCTTTTGTCTGTGCATCTGTCTTCAACCCCAGCACTCAAGGATAGCAGTTTTCTCATCTCTCAGCTCAGAGGGTCTGACACATACGGTCACAGAACTGGTTTGAAGGGCTGGCTAGCTGAAGCCTTGTTTTACAATGCCCCTTATTCCAGTCTGTTGAAAGACATCAAGGTGAATGCCTAGGTGAAAGTCAAGTATACTTTCAAGTTCTTTGTAATTTAAGATGATACAGTTGCCTATGATTTAAAACCAATTAAAACCAAACCAAAAAAACCCCAAACCCACTGTCATTGAGTTGATTCTGACTCATAATAACACTATAGCACAGAGCAGGACTGCCCCATAGGGTTTCTAAGGCTGTAACCTTTACAGAAGCAGACTGCCACATCTTTCTCCCAAGGAAAGTGGGTTTCAATGGCAGACCTTCGGGCTAGCAGCCAAGAGAGTTACAAGGGCTCCTCAGAGTCAATTGCCTAGTGAAATGACTCACATGGCTAAATTATTAACTACACAATTTAAATCAATCATTTCATAATCTTGAAAAATATCACTAGTATAAAAGCAAATAATGCAACAACTGGGAAGAAATAAAACCTTCCAAAGACATGCTTATGGAGATGAGTGTATGAGGGAAAATGGATGGGTGACCAGCCTTCAGACTGATGTACCTGGGGGAAGCCGACCAGCACGAGCAGGGTAAAGATGTTGGTGTGCTTCAGCTGGAAAGGTAGCTGTTTGATGCAGTGGTCTGTGAAGGCGGCAATGACGTCACGCCACAGTGGAGCACTGTTGAGTGACCGCAGGATCTCTGCCATGGAGCATGCCCAGTCTAAGCCCACCCGGCTGGAAGGCAAGAGCTCCATTAGGGGGAAGTGCATAGGGCTTCCTGCACTCCAAGACAGCACTGGGGCAGACCCAAGAGCCATTCTCTAATCAGCTTTAAAATGACCACAATGATGCTTTTCACGTAATGGTGAGAGGAAATGAAACAATCAAGATCTACTACTGTACACTCAATCTAAAACTATGGTTTTAAAATTCCCCATATAGTCACATACACACACAGGAATAAAGGAAATACACTAAAACAGCACATGGGGGATTTTTTCCCTTCATTTCTGTTTCCAAATTTGGTATTGTGATCACACTATTTTTACGATGAAGCAAATTTATTTCTTCATCCCCCAGACCTACATTCATTGCTCTCACACAGCAGGATTTATACCAGCAGAGAGATGAGTTGGCAGACAGTGCTGAGATGCTCAGCTGACATGCTCTTAAGCATAACTATTCTCACTAAAGATTCCCAAAGAACAGTACTGTGTAGCAGCACACTGAAATTAACCACGAGTCAGACCTGCAACCTAATGAAAAGTACATCAAGGTGGGGAAGAATGGGAGAGGAGACTGGGTGAGCAAGAACCAAGACTACCTGTCCAAACACACAGCTCCCAGGCTGAAGAGCAGGTGGGTGGTCTTCCAGCCATCTGGCACGATGGGACTGTCTCCTGATGCAAACAGGTTGTGTTTCGCTGAGAGGACCTTGACCACTGCAGCATCCACCTCTGCTGGTAAGAGGCGGATGATCAACTGGCCCAGAAGTCCCAGTGTGAGGTGGTAGGTTTCATTCAGGTGGCCTGCGTTTGAGATGACCACCTGGAACATGAGTGGGAGGACGTGCTCCAGGTCTATCAGGGGGCCTGCGTGAACCTGCTGAGAGACGAAGATAAATCTGTTCAGAATAAAAGACCATGTCACCATTGTCAGTTGACCACTCCATTCCCTCATGTATTGTTTACAACCAACCAGCCTGCCGCCAAAGCAGTTTTCAATCAATGCCACATGGACAATCAGATGTAAAATAAGAGTTTTTTCTTTTCATATCTCATTTTACAATCCTACTTTTAATTTGTCTTTCTCCTGAAAAATAAACATGAAAAACACTGGGGAAATCTCAGTTCCCCTGTCTCTACATCCCCATTGCAAAATAATTCAGAAATTAACAGTTAAAGAGCTTCATAATCCATTCCTCCTACCCTACCAAAAAGTCCAGATGACAACTTCAAACAGTCTCTTCAACCTTTTCCTATGCATATTTGTATGTTACATAAAAGCTCATCAACGTTAAGGTTCTTGAATGTGGTTACATAGCACAGTGTATTTCTAAAGACACATGCTGAGCTGTTTAGGGGGATGCATCAATGAGGTCTACAACTTATCGTCAAAGGTTCAGCAATCACCCCCACCAGATCCCAGATCTTATTTATGTACGGCGGCTCTGTACGGTAAGCACTGGACTGCAAACCACAAGGTTGGTGGTTTGAGCCCACCAGCCACTCTGTGGGAGAAAGATGAGGCTTTCTGCTCCTGCAAAGATTTATAGACTTAGAAACCCTATACAAGATCACTATGAGTCGGAACCAACTTAACAGCACTTAACGACAACATATATATAAATATGGAGTCCTGGTAGGGTGCTGTAGGATAAACACTGGACTGCTAACAGCAAGGTTGACGGTTCAAACACACCAGTTGCTCTTTAGAAACGCTATGCACGGTTGGTATATTGCTGTTGTTTGTTAAAGCTGTCAAGTCAGTTCAGACTCACAGAACCCTGTATAGGATTTCCAGGAGTAGCTGGTAGGGTTGTGCCAATCTTGTGGTTAGAAGTCCAGTGCCGATATATATGAGTTGGTGCTGTTAAGGGCAATATTTATATGTTATTTCTTGTCAATTGCCGTTGAATCAGTTCCGATTCACAGAAATTCTGTATGAACTGCTCATGGCAAGGCTGGTGGTTCAAACCCACCAGTCACTCCTCAGAAACCCCCTATCGAGTTAATTCTAAGTCATACCAACCCTCTAGGACACACACATATATGGGGGGGGGGGGAGATTATATGCTGTGGACTTGGTTCCAACTCATAGTGACCCTGTATAGGGTTTTTGAGACTATAAATCTTTACAGAAGCAAAAAGCTTCATCTTTTTCCTACGGAGCAGCTGGTAGATTTGAACTGCTGACCTTGCAGTTAATAGCCCAACTCATAACCCACTACACTACCAGGCTAGATATGTACACACACACACACACACACACACACACACACACACACACGTATACGTGGTGCTATAGGATAAGCTCTGGACTGCTAACTGCAAAGTCGGCAGTTCAAATTCACCAGTTGGTCCTTGGAAACCCTATATAGGGTCGCTATGAGTCAGAATCGACTCAACGGCACTTAGCAACAACACATGTATGTATGGAGTCCTGGTATGGCACTCTAGAATAATCAGTGGACTGTTAACCACAAAGTTGGCGGTTCAAACCTACCATCTATATATAGGGTGGTAATGAGTAGGAACGGACTCAATGGCACTTAACAACAACATATGTTTGTATATATGTATATGTATACACACACATAAAGTGGCTTCAAAAAGTTTGTGGAAAAATTCCATTATCTTTTAACTCCATTTTCCACATTTCTCAGTTATAGACAAAGTTAGGTTCCAAAGACCAGGTCGTTATGTGAAAATTGATGTCATGCAAAAATGAAAGATGATCACATCAGATCCCAAAATGGAGGATGAATCTATAACTGCCAAATGACATCATTCCACAGCTGAGAATCCTGGCCCCGCCACGCTGACTCATGACCTTCACCACTGCAGCCTGACTCTCACCCAGCACCTCTGTGTTCACTTCCGTCAGACGTACATCATTCATGTACAAAATAGCCAAACAGGAGATGTTTTACTGTTGCTGTGAAATCTAAATATAACAAGACAGTCGGTTAAGTGAGGACGCACACTCCCACATACCCAGATAACGAAAATACTAATAACTGGTGACCCTAGGTGAAGGAAGATCAATGAAAAGTCATATTATACATAGCGAGGCTGTGGCACTAGAGGATAAGCACTGGACTGCTAACCTTAAGGTCGGCAGCTGAAACCCACCAGCTGCTCCTTGGAAACCTTATACAGGGTTGCTATGACATGCAACCAACTTGACAGCACCTAACAACCACAACTGCAGAAAAGGGGTCCTGGACTGCTAACCCCAAGGGTCAGCAATTCAAACCAGATGCTCCTCAGAAATCCAATACAGGGGTGCTATGAGTTGGAACTGACTCAATGGCACTTAACAACACATTGTAGAAAAGTAGCAAAACACAGAGGTACAAAAAAGAAAAATCATCATCATTTGTAATTCTACACTGTACTCTAGGTGATACACAAGGACTGTTAAGACAGTTGGTTTCAGCACAGGACTTTCAAAACTCAAGTTTTTCTATGTATAACACAACCCCTTTTTCAAAGCAAACATGCTGATCTCACTTACCGATTTTAAAGGAGGCAACATGGCTGCTAGCAATCCCAAAATCCTCTTCTGGGAGCATTCTGCAAACACCTGCTCAGGGCTGGGAGTAATTGCCTTTCCTTGTACTGGCTTCGGAGACGATCCTTCTGAATTTTCAGCATCTGAGTTGTAAATCACCAAACTTTCAGATTTTGCTGGGTTTCTACATGTCTACAAAGTGGCAAATAAACAGCCTAGTACTCCTGTGCTGTTAAAGAAAAGAGCGGGGACTTGCTCAACTGTCCCCTTCCCAAGGAGGACTGCCCCGGTCACCCTATTTGAATGTACAGCCTGCCTATAACCCCCACTCCTTCAGTGCTCCCTGCTCTTTAGTGCTCAGGGCATTTGGACACTTTGGAACATGCTGCGGATGCAAAGTCGCTTTGAACCACAAGGTCGGCAGTTCAAGCTCCCCAGCTGCTCCTTGGAAACTATACAGGGTTGCTATGGGTCGCAACCAACACAATGGCAGTTAACAACAACAACAAACTTTATATTTATTGTCTATTTTGTTATTTGATTTTTGTTTTTGTCAGTGATGTTATCTATAGTACTTAGAAATGTTTCTGGAGTACAGCTGGTACTCAGGAAAGACTTGATGAATGAGAATCAAGTGCACGTGATCCAGGATGGGGTTCCCATGAGAACTAGACTAGAATGGATTTCCAGAACCTGGACAGATGTGGTGTACCAGCTGTTTTCTGGAACTTAGAGTGGTAAGTACTGCAGAGAGGAGTGTCAGCCCCTCTGGGAGCTGGGCCCAGGCAGGGCAGAATGGTCAGTGCTCCCTCCTTCCTCCCTCACAGAGTGAGAAGATGGGAAGGTCCTGCTTTCCCAGGGCTGCCCTAAGGAGGAAGCGGAGGTTTGCTTCCGGTCTCTTCAGCCCACAGTACCTTTACTTCACTGCTATCAGTCTCATGGAAATGCGGCTCTGACTTCGCTGCTGGCATCCTCTGGCAGGCTGAGAGCCCCAAACTGCTCAGGTTCTCCCCAGCAGGGGCCCATGTCACCTTTCTTGTTTCATCGTCTGTGTTCTACTCTATTCCTACACACCTGCCAAAAAGGACTTTGCCCCTGAATTTGACTAGTGGTTTCCCACTTCGTGGTCTTAGCTCACGTTGTTTTTTCTGCCTTGAATGCCCTTGCCCACAGCAGAGTGAACCCATCAAATTAAAGGTCTTCTGGGTAGAATCACATTCTGCCTCAAATTTCAGTGACCTGAATCTTTGTCCGAAACCCTCCTAGACAGTTGAGGGCAGGAACTATGCATCTATCTGTCTTGGTCTGTTTTATGCCCAGGGCCCAGCACAGGGCTTGTCACCTAGAACGCACTCAATAGATATAGGGAAAATAAGGTAGGAAAACAGTCCAAATGAAGGACTTTCACAAAGTGTTATCAGCAGCAGTATCATACACTGAGAAACCACACACTCCTGTTTGCAGCCAGTTTTAAATTGTGTTCAACCAACAGCTCAGAGGTGGGTGCGTATGTATTTGAAAAGAAAGAAATCAGATAAAGAGTCTTTACCTATAATTCCTGGAGGTGTATTAGTATCTGCTGGTGAATCTGAAGTTCGGGCCTGGCAGGAAGGATCCTTCATTAATAAAACACTTCCATCTGCCTTGTTTCTCTGCTTGCAGTCTGAAAGTCTGATTTCTTTATGAACACCTCCCTTTTCCTAAGAACAAATGGTGGGTGTAAAACAATGAAGGTGTTTTATAACAAGTTTCTAGAACATGATATGATATTAATATCATAAATATAATTGGGTATCATTAGTCACTCATCACAGATAAGAATCTTTTATCTTATTAGGAAACAGCACTTTCTCTCATGATGCACCTAACTCTGTACTAAGATGCTAATGAGTATATCACATTCTCCCCAGACACTTCCAAATACCCCTCAGAGTCTGTGGTTGCACATTTAAAATATTTCAGAATTACATGTCATGAAAAACTTAGTCTGAAGAGCCTGACTCTGAATGTGAAGGATTTAGACAAGAAATTAAACAATTTATTTCATTTATACTTGACACTTTATGTATACGCAAGCGTGATAGATGGGAAGAATAATCTAAGTAAATATAAAATATTTGGATTAGGATGTTTCTGGAGCATAGTAGAACACATGTCCAACTTCCCTTTTTTAGTAGCAGAGAATAACTTAGTAGGAAAAGCTCCCCCTGGAAGTACACTAAATCAAAACTGTAGCGGCCTTGGAGAAAAAAAAAAAAAAAAAAAAAAATCCAGTTTTCAGGGCCTTAAAAATGGTTCATTTACACCTCCCACACTACTTGCTAGTCTCAAAAGGAAAATATTCTTTACAGGAGATAACTTTCACCTCCCCAACTTAGTGAGCAAGCTATGTATAAATAACTGGCACATAACCACCAACCTGGTACATAGTAAGCATTTAGTACTACCTATTTGTTGAATGAATATAAAAATAACTACATGTATACAGTACTCACTCATGGGCTAGAAACTAAACTCTTTAGTGAAATCAAAAAACAAAACAAAGCCAATTGCCACCAAGTTGATTCTGACTCATGGTGACGTCGTGTGTCAGAGGGTTTTCCGGGAGTGAAGTTTTTGAAGTAGATCACCAGACCTTTCTTCAGAAATACCTCTGGGTAGAACTGAACACTTGCCTTTTTAAGTTTTTTTTAAACTAATGTTTTATTGTGAATTATGTGATAGTTTACATGGGAGAACATTAGTTTTACATTCATTCTATCATATGTTGTTTCATTGCCATAGTTACAATCCTGTCTACGCATCATCAACCAACCAAAGGGTATATACCCTGCAAGCCTTCCCCCCTCACCCCACCCCAGGTCGTCAGCACACAGCCCCCCTCCCTCTCTGGATCTCAAGTCCCTAGCCACTCCATCTCTCCATGTCATCGTCTCTGCCTCCATCTCAGTCATCACTGCTTCTCTGGGTACAGTCCCGCTCTCCGCTCCTAGACTGAAAAGTTAATCACTCCCCTCCTTGCTACAAAACGTCTACCTTTACCTTTCCAACCCTCACAATCAATCCTGATAACAATTATTCACTATTGTATCACAAGAGACCCATCTGCATTTCATTTCATTAGCCCTTCCTAGACAGGTTGGATATTACTCACTGGAGACTCTACCTTCCTCCACGCCCTCTGGATCTAGGTTCCCTCTTGAAAGCTTATAAACCAGTCACTTCTTGCCTTTGCAGCTCCCCCCTACCCCCATTTTGGGTAGCCAATGTCTAAGTTGCCCATCCCTGTCTACTCTTTGTGTGGAAGGGGTGGGAATGATTCTTGCATAAGGATCTATTTCCTCTTTTGAGCTCTTGTATCCATAGGTGTAGGTCAAGTTCATCAAATTGTATCAGATGACGCGTTTTTCCTCTTCTTTCTTCTTCAGGTTGAGCTCTGATCATCCAGTCATTGAAGTCAGGTCAAGTGGGTTTTATCTGCAAGTGTTGGTGTTCTTGCGTCTATCCGCTCTCTTATCAGCTGGACGCTTCACTCTCTACTCTAGTCCTCTGTGGCTGTGTCACTGACTCTGAGCCCATGAGTCCCCAGGTCTTGCCACACTGCTGGCCGACCAGGTCTCCACCTGGGTTCACAGAAGTCTATTGAATGTTGTAGGGCTTAGCTCGCTGCTTCATTGCTGTTTTTCCTTCACTTCCCCTTATGGGTGACGTCCATGGTCGCCAATCAGAGCGTGAACACTAGCCTTCTGAACCACCCAGGAATTTTAAGTGCAAACATTTAAAGCCTCAGAAACCCTATACATGGCACACAACAACACAACCCTAATGATGGAACATACCACGAACACTGTTCTAAGCACCTCACATACATGAACTCAATGTGCATAATGTAACTCCTTACAACTACCCTAGGGTATGGCTCTTTCTTAAGACTGGTACAGTGAAGAAGTATTTACATTGTAGTGCACAAAAGAGCCGGCCTCTGATGGCTCCTCAGCAGCCTGGACAGCTTTCCTTTCCAGCTGCTCCTCTGATGTGCAGGTGGGCACTGGGACTGGCAGGGATGAATTTTCTGAGCTGGATTCACTATCTGGCAATATGCCAAGAAGAGCTAGTGCTTTAAGACCTGTATGGATAACAAACGAGAGGATGGTTGAAGTTTTATAACAAGGGTTATTTTCCTACAAATACCATAAATCATTTGCCACACTATGGAAATAGATAGCTGCGTTCTATACAGATCAAACTGAAGAGTATACAAGGTTAACACCCCAGCTATCCAAATCTAGTCAGGTCTTGATCTCAGACAGCAAAAGTTCACTGCATGAGGGATATGTGCACTTTACTAACACCAGAAGGCAAAAAATACAACAGAGTAATTTATTTGGCACCAATTTTTATATAGTACCATGCAACTAGATTTCTAAATTCCTACTAGCATGTAAGTAACAAAACAGTTTTGAAGCATTTTATTATCTAACCTGACTTAATATAGGGAGTCCTGATGTGGCACTATAGGATAAGCACTGGACCTCAAGGTTGGTTTGAACCTATACAGGGTCTCTATGAGTTGGAACTGACTCAACAGCACTTACCAACAACTTAATACAGGGAGCACAGTGGCTCTGTATGATAAGAGCACTGGACTACAAGCTACAAGGTTCACTCCGCGGGAGAAAGATGAGGCCTTTCTGCTCCCACGAAGACAGGGTTGTTATTAGCCAGTACTGACTCAAAGGCACTTAACAACAACTTAATACAGACCTGACTAGAATGACAAGTACAGAATTTTGAGAAAAATTCAGGCACCTCAGAGGTTTAACATACAAGTTATTTTCTCTCCTGTATCCCTTGGTAAAATCAAAATTATCTAGGTGTTTTATGAGTCAAATGATTTAGCTTGCAAGCGGCCCTCACCCATAATACATGTGTGTGCAAAGAGATTTGCACCTCAGCTTAAGGGATGTCTGGATTCTTTTGGCAAAGGTTAAGTTGGGTCAGTACAAATACAAAACACTCTATCCACACACACTTCAAGGGTTTCAATTATTAATAAACCTTTTTATATCTTCGTATAAATATTTTAAAGAAACTAAATGCTACTTTAAGGCCAACATTTCTCTTAAATGCACTTGGGAATTTAAGATTAAACTTCACACCAGGGGCAGCCCCTCTTAAGGAAAAGCACATTCTGTGACCTCTCAGTGGAGCACAATGGGCTCAAACACAAGACTAACTGTGAGGACGGCACAGGAGCGGGCAGTCTGGAGCTCTATTGTACACAAGTTCACTATGAGTCAGAAAGGACTCGACAACACCTAACAACAACCCGTAGAACACAGCTGGGGCTCTTCCCTCCCAAGCAGCAAAGGGTAGTTCTGATTCCATGCATGAGGAACCTTTTCCTTGGTGAGCCTTCATCAGACAGTCTCCGACCAGCTGCACACACTGGCTCCGCAGGATGGTGGCACTGTTGTGGGCCTGGGAGCCCAGCTTCTCCCCATCTACGTCCTCTGCACTGGCCAGGTGGGCACTGTAAAGTGCCAGGGCAGCAAAGAGCAGCCAGGAGTAATTGTGGATGTAGGGCTGGATGAGTGTCTGCCGGTCGCTGATCCGAATGGTCACCATCGGATGGGCTGTGATGCTGTGGGTAGGCAAATGGCTGCAAAGGGAAGACATTCTTAAGGCCCAGCCTTTGTGAGGCTCCAAAAAGGAGAGCAGGCCTGAAGGGAGCACATGTGTGCTAACAATGGGCATTGATCTCACCTAAGGCTGTGACTGATACAGGTGCTTCTAAATTACAGAATCCTCTGAAATTTTAAAGAGGTATGGATCTTCAACCCAGAAAAATGAGCAAGCACAAGCCCTGTATGTACCATTCAGGATTTCACCACCCCCAGAAGACTGTCCATGGAAAGGAGGTTAAGTAAGATTTCTTTATTATGAAGAAAGCAAAGGGTGATAATAGCTGATCATGCTAGAAAATGCCAATGATTTTGAGAGGTGCGGAAGAAGTATGTAAGAGGGAAACAATGTGAGGTCAGGAATTTGCTTAAAAATAGTTTAACAAAGAAAGAAACTAAGCACACATAGTAAACCTTTCATAATGATGACTCTGGGTAATGGGTATACGTGGGTTCATTGTATTGATTTTTCTGTTACCAAGTTATGTTTAATATCAAAGTCTTATTTTGGTTTTAATGTAAAAAGCTCCCTTTTCACACAAAGGAACACATAAATGAAAGGCAAGAGAACAACAGGCCACCTGAGACCTACCCATAGGAGTACTTCTTTGCTGCATAGCATCCGTAGCAAAGATCAAAGTCATCACACACATTGCAATTCATCCTCCGGCCAATGATCAGACCCTGGCAGTGGTCACAGGCAAACTCCATGTTGACCATCTCATGGTCATCCCCATGGCCCTCCGGTTTGACCCCACCTGGGAGAAAGAAACAGCAGTGTGAGGTAGAGTGGGGCAATGGGCTTCTAGAAGGACCAGCACTACCAGTTAAGTTACTCAAAAATGTCTGAAGTTTGCTTTTTTGGTGTATATTTTGCCACTCGCAAACATTATATGATTCAAAGGCCAAACTATATCCTGGATGCTCAATGAAATGTTGGTCCTACACCTAGTCTGATAGAAGATGGAAGACACCTCAGATAACAGACCTGTGGATTTTACCATCTCGCTGAGGAGATAAGGGTCAGATCTGCCAGCAGGTCAAAGATTACTACCAGACAATGAACTGTTTAGTTCATTCTGACTCACAGCGACACTACAGAACAGAGGAGAAGTGCCCTCATAGTTTCCCAAGCTATAAGTCTTCTCATAAGCAGATAGCCACATCGTTCTCCTATAGAATGGCTGATGGGATTGAATTCTTCAGCTTTTCACATGGTTACATACTGCACCATAAGGGTTCTAGACAACGCAATGAAAGTTTAAAAAAAAAAAAAGATCACAGAAAACAGAAAAGAATTTTCACTTCTGGATGAGGCACACTGAGTCCTGATATTTACCTAGGAAACAAGTTTTGCAGAGATCCATGTCGCTGCACTGCAGACACCGATAGCGGTGCCAGGGGGCAATCTCATCACAACCATCACAAGAGATGTCCACATTTAACAGGTCACAGTAGCGAGCAATAAACATGTGCATCTGTAAGGTGAAACCAACACAATTAACCAACAGATTTCCTAATGCAGTCACGTTTCATTCATCAATTCACTCCTTCAGTAGGTTCTTATTAGGTACTTAGGATGCTCCAGACATTGTACTAGGTGCAAGATTAGACAATGAATGTGTTCAGTGTCTAGTCAGGATCCCCTTGAGCAAACATGACACTGTATGAAAGGGCTTTGATGGGCACATTGAACAGGCTAACAGAATTTAGAAGTGGGACAGCAGTGGGCGTGAGGAAGGTCAAGGGAGGTTCTCCAAAGGAAATAACTCCTCAGCTCAGGGGCAAATAGGAATTAGTTGGGTAAGGGCAGTGGGCATGCCAGAAGGAAGAGCATTTTGTATTTATATAAAAACAAAGGCTCATGAAATTGGCAATAATTCAGTATGGAGATAGAGACCAGAGGGGGCATAAACAAAGTTAAAAATGTTACAAAAGGGTCTTGAATGCTAGTCTAAGGAGTCACTAACAGTTTGTAAATAGAAGAGTGATAGGATCGGATCTATTTTTAAATTTCCGCTGGTTGCTGAGTGAAGAATGAATTGATGAGAGCCAAGACTAACCAGGATAGAATCTGCTAAATTGACACTGTGACTGGCAGTGAGGGCTGGGACTGAGGCAGTGGGGAGCGATGACAGAAGGTGGACAGATCTGAAAGGTGTTCAGGAAGTAGAAGTGAGGAACCTGGGAGACTGACTGGATAAGAGGGTTAGTGAAAGAAACAGTCACGAACACCATCCAGACTTCTGGCTTGGATGAAGGTAGTGTTCACAGACACAGGCAACAATGCAAAGGGAACACTCTCTCCTGGAACTGAAAAGAAAACTTTTTGGGAAGACTTTCCTGAGCAAGCAAATTATTTTACTGGAAGATACTTGGAGGCTACAGTACAGTTTATCTTTAGGGCCTAGAAAAGACGGAAGTAAATCAGCGTAAGTCAACATCTAACAGTAGACCAGAGCAAATATGCAAGGCCACCCTAGAAGTAAAGCCTAGCTCCCAGTAAGATACTAACAGATGCAAGAACAACGCAAAGCACCATCCAGGTGCCACAGAGGTGCTGTATAAGCAAAGTGATTGGCACATAGTAGGCACTCAGTACTGAGAAAACAGGTGAATCTGTTGCCAGTGGCAGGTCTAACACAGGGTAGACATGACATGGTAAGCGCTTCATGGGACCTTTACACACTGGGTCACATAACTCTGACTGGACAGGCACGGCTACTTCTGTGCTCACTGGGCAACCTACAGACAGCTGAGGACACCAGAGTCCAGGCCCTTCAGAGAGTTTCTTTCTCCCTGTAAATTAATAAACGGGCACCTCATCTAATATAGGAGCCAATTTCCTTGAGTCCAGTCCCAAAGGAGGGAGCTACTCTTTGAATGTGGTCACATTAGGATTCAGGGCCCCTCCAGCTAAAGATCAGGCTTGGTGACAGCAGACTCTTTAAGGTACTGAATGTCACTGGGGCCCTTTTGGGAACAGCCTGTTGGCACTCCCCCAGGCAGACTCTTCTCTCCAGACTCCTACCAAATCACTTCCCATCACTCTAGTTGAGAGGTCTTACTTTCCTCTGCTTCTCGGGATCTTCCTGGGCTATTTTTTCATACCAGGCCTCAAACATGCCATCCTGACACTCATCCATCCATTCTGAATTCTGCTTGGCATCAGCAAGCTCATCTTCTTCACTCCATTGGCTGAAAGAAGGACATAAAGAGAGAAAAGCATGCCTCTCCCAATAATCCAGGAAAGTGCTGGTTAGCAGGCTATTGTCCTAGCAGTCCACCATAGTGGACATTTGTAAGCTTCTGAATGGAAACGGTCAGTTTGCTCTTCAAAGCCCCGGGATTTGCCAGGTATTTAATAGCTTGATACCAACAGGAGAAGCTCTTTCTAGAGAAAACCCCAATGTGCTTGAAAGGTGGTGCCTACGTGGAACAATCCCAACTGACAACCATTTGTGGGGAACCTACTATGTGCCAGGCACTGGGGTCAAATAAATTTTTTTTTTTTTCTTAATATTTTTATTTTGATGTGTTCAGCACATATCAGTGGCAACAGTGTGAGAAGGGAGTCAGGAGAGCCTGTGGCTCTGGATCTACCATCAGTCGCTGTTGACACAATTCTCAGCCCCAGCCGTCAGTTTCCTCATTTTAAATAAAAGATTTCAGGTAGATAATCTCTCATGGGCTTCTTTTAGATTCAAAAGCATAAATGACCATCATTTTGGTTTTCAGTTCATTTTGGTGACCAGGATTCTAAACACTGAAGGATTTGCTTGATAGCAAATGAAAATATTTACCTCCCAACAAACCTGTCCACGCACTCCAACTAATTGATTTTGGGTCTACTCAGCTATGGATGAGGTGCTACAAGGGATTTCCAGAGGAAGGGTAGCCCCATCCCCAAGGACTACATCATGTACATCATACATGATAACAGTGAGCAGACTGGCCGTGGGCAACATATCCTTCAGTAAACAAGGGGACAGCTTTATTGCCTTTTCTCACAATAGCTCTTCTGAGAGAGAGCAAATTGTCCCAGTGTTGACTTAGTCATTTATTCCCTTCCAGTTCTCTCCTCTTAGCACTTGCTTTTCTTCTCCAATTCTCTTCTCCTTTCTTTTCTATGCACATAAGTGGTTAATGGGGTTAGGGAACTGGAGCAGGTGGAGAGATACTTATAATGGGTACAAGAAGAAAACTTTGCATACTACTCTTTTCTCATACTGTAAGCCCTTAAAATGTGCAAGATGTTATAATGACTCAAATCACACACATGTACTGTAACCAAAACTATGGAAAAGTGTTATCTGATTCAACAAGCTATTCTAGGAACTACAAAAAACAAGCAAAGGAGTCTTACCCTCAGGGTCTACAATACCTCCTTACACAGCACTGCAATGTGCCACACATAGTTCTAAATGTTTAAACAGTAACTTGCTTATATCTCACAATACTGTGAAGTAGTGCCATTATTGCCACTAGCTCTAAAGATGAGGAAACTGAGGCAGAAAGAGTTGAATAAACTGCACAGCTGGTATGTGGCAAAGCCAGGATATGACACAGCCAGTCTAGCTCCTGAGCCCGTGCTCTTAAACTCTGTAATACAATTCCTGCATTTGGTCATCTATTTTAGGAACTCAAGATTGCAAGACTGAGGACTCACCTGATCACACTGTCGTGGACACTTATATTTTCTTGTGACATGTTCATGAGGAGATCTGGTAACTGAATATCAACAAAGAAGGAGAGATCCCTGGGTTCCCAACCCATATCCAGAAGGTGGAGCAGTGCAGTCTGTACACAGGACAGGGCAGGCAGCAAGGACCTAAAGGGGTCACAAAAGGGGCAGTTAGCACTGCTGCTCACTACCAACAGGCACTACAGAGACCTGGTGTGTTTGTAAACGGAAAGCAGAAGGAAGTATCAGGTTGCTGGTGAAATTCCTTCAATCTTCCTTCGAATCTCTCATGCTCTATATAGACACTCTTCAAAGGACAGCTTGAGCAAAAGAATTCTCAAAGGTCTAAGAGCATGCTTTCCAGTCTGCCAGGACTACTACCTTTGCACATTTTTAGGAAAAGGATTAAACACAATAAATATCATCTTATGACAAATAACAGGACCAAGTGAGGCAAAAAGTAACCAAGGATGTGCAGTTGAGATGTACAGAAAAGTCATTTAAAATTGATAAACCACTGAGTAAGAAGACTAGAATACAGCTTTAAACCCGTTTTAAATGTAACTAACTGTGAATGTTGTATCAAAAACTGAAAATAAGAGGTTATGAATTCTTAAATTATATTTTAAGACCTGACCCAAGCCTGAAAAAAAGAGTGCACACCATACAGACAAAGACTAGAAGAAAATTAAACTACTATGTTAACAATAGTTAGCTCTAAATGGTAGGGTTAGAGGTTATTTTTGTTCTATTCTTTATGCTTTTCTGTTATTTTCAACAATGATCCTATATTTCTTTTGCAATCAGAAAGAAGTCAAAATAGATTTTTTCCTCTAAAAATTATAAAGCTATCCAATACCTGTCATTTATGCTAGTGAATTCTTTAATTGCTTTGACCAAAAACAGAACAAGCTGATAGTAAGTTTCTCGAATCTCTTTGTGTAGCTCTGCACCACAGGCTTCCAAGTGTCCAAAGTAACTAGAAACAGAGGAAATCATCAGCTTATTCAATTGCCAGAACATCACTGTAATTAGCATTACTCCTTATGAAGAAAGAAGCTGAACACAGTAGCTTAGGCACTTGAGCTTAGGGCAGAGTAGAACTGCTCCATAGGGCTTCTGAGGCTGTAAACTTTAGGGAGGCAGACTGCTTCACCTTTCTCCTGCAGAGCACCTGGTGGCTTCAAATCGCTGACCTTTAAGGTTAACAGCCGGATGCTTAACCCATTATGCCACTAGCAGCGCTCCCCTTCCAGCACCACTTAATTACGTGCCACATGTTGTAGTATTTTTCACAAATGACCTCACTTCATCCTCTCCAGAGAACCATGCCCTCTCACCCCAGCCCCCTTCACTAATTGACTCATCATCTTTTCTACTGCGATCCCCACCACCCAACATCAACATCCATCTAAATGATACACCCAGGAAGAAAAATGAACTAGTCCAGACTGTAAATCTGTATCCCATGTGCACGTGATGAAGTTATCAGAGAAGACAATAAGGCCTTCTTTACAACTACCTCAGCTTGTTTTCTTTGCAAACTTGTACTGTGTACTTACTTGGTGAACTCTTTCTGGCAGGTCAGAAGTTCTAACAGGAAAACTATAAAAGGCGGATGGAAGCAATGAGGCTGTCCAAGGGATTCTGCACAATACTGTATTATCCGCAGTACTTCAAGGATGCTCTGGGCTTGGGCTTTCTTCAAAGAAAGCACCTGTATAACACTGGAGACAAGATTTAAATCAGAAAAACCCAGAAAACATTTGCTTAAGCTAAGGCAGAAAGGAAACATACCCTCCACTCGAAAAGGAGTGTTAGAAACATCATTTAGGAAGAGTGTCAATACTTACTACTTGTACTCATTACTCAGTATTACAAATAGGTTTACACCAACTATTCAGAAGCCCAACCAACACCCATATTAAAATAGTTAAATTAAAAAGGAAACTTGCTTCCTTTACTTCATCACAGAGATGAAGCTTTAATCCTTAGAACAGGAAATTCCTCACTAAATTATATATGCAATGTTGTTGTTATGTGCCGTCATGTTGGTTCTGACTTAAAGCAACCCTATAAAGGGATTCCAAGGAGCAGCTGGTGGGTCTGAACTGCCAAGCTTGCGGTTAGCAGTCCAGTGCTTATTCTATAATACCAAACCAGGATAATACTTCCAGACAAATACTTCTGTCAGAAAATATCAAATCTAAAATTCTCTTGGGGTTAAGGCTAACAGTATAGTATTATATACTGTTTATATACTGATAATAGTTTACAAGAAAGTACATATAAATCTTAAAAAGAAAAAAAAATACTTTTTTAAAGGGGGAAAAAGAAATCACTATGTTTTTTCTTGAACATTCTGAAACAAATATTAATTATCCTCAAAATAATATCATCCTTCAGGTATTCTATTCTAATTTTTAACCTGAACATCAAGCCTTTGACTAAACTGGGTCCCCACAACGTGAAAAAAGTCGGTGCTGGGAAGGTAACGGCCCCGGCTCACCTCTCCTGTGAGAGCGACTGGTCTTTAATGAAGTCCATGACGTCCCTCAGCACAGGGTACTTCTCTTTCACCGTGGGCACTGGTTTGGCCTCTTCCATGGATCGGAAGGAGAGCAGCCGGAGTCGCCCTCGGGTAAAGGGAGGCCGACGGGTGGGTGTGGAAGGCGAGGAGGGCTCTTCGGCTGAGGCAGGGGACACCTCTGCAGGCAAAGGGCCACTGCCTGGCAGCAGCTTCGGCTGGACGTCCAGGCCAGGCCTCCTGTCCGCTGGCACCGGGGTGGCTGGTTCAGTGGGAGACACCGAGGCTTGACAGTGCTCTTCAGCCACTGAGCTTGTCCTCTGGCGCTCGTCAAGTGGCTGGAGAGAATCAGCTTCATCAGCAGTAACTAATTTGTCACAACTTTCTTTTGAACTTACATCCATGGGCAAAAATTTCAGTAACAGAAGACTCTTCTGAATACACTCTCTTGCTAAATACAGAAAAAAAAACAAAAAAACAATAACAACAAGAAAGAGAGAGTAAGACAATTTTAAAAACCAAAATTAAATTAAATGCCTACTTTTGGAGAGAAAATATTCTATTAAACTTCTTTTAGGGTGAGACAACCCCATTAATAGAGTGATATACCACATTTACTGATTACCAAATATACATAAAGAGGATTGTCTAAGGACCCCTTCCTGTATTCAACATGCAGCTTACAAAATTATCAACTCATAGCCAATCTTGCTTCCCTGATGTCCCACCCACCCCCTACTCCATGGATTAGTTTCATGCAGCTCTCCTGACTCATATTATTTAATCTGTAAAAGCACTAGTGTTTTTCTCTAAAAAAATTAAAGCTTTAAAAAATAACCATTAATGTCACATCTAAAAAAACTTGACAGTAATTCATAATTTAGCTAATGTGAACACACTTAAAAATCTAGCAAGATATGGCTCAAAAGCACCTGATACATTCTAAAAAGTAATTAGAAAGATGCTCTACTTGGAGCATCTCAATGAATAATTATTCTTGCTTTATTATATAAAACAACCTTGGAAACTACATTTGGCAGCTGTGTTACTTCCCCTAGCTCAACATTGCTTCAGCTAAAATGATCTGAGAGCTACGTCACTGATTGTCTCGCTTCTGAAATGAAAAGAGAAGAGCAAGTAAAGGCAGTTTAAGTTAGCACACTCACATAGGCTCTCAGGATTTGTCTCGTTCGTTTCGGAATCGTGTTTTTCTTCCGCCTCATTCCCCAGTCCCATCAGGGACCTCTGCTTCATCTCTAACTGGGAGGAAGAGTTGAGCCACATAATTACACTGTAACGGACATTAGCGCAGCAAGGGATAGTGGCAGCAAACTACTTCAAAAGCACAGAGCACTAAGATCATGCAGGACTTGAGAGTTCTGGTCCAGCTGTTGAGGACACAGGACTGAGAGAGCAGTCACCCAGGCTTTGAAGCTGTCTACAAGCATATCTGCAAAATTACCTTCCCTTCAACTACACACTATTTAGGAGTGGATTATACTCATGGCTTTTTTATTTTAAAAATTCTGCAACACTGGTCATGGAGAAGACCTTATCTAAAGTGTGCCAAGCACAGATCAAGAAGCCGAGGTCAAGAGAAATAAAGGTCCAGCTAGGGTCACACACCTGGTCTACTGCAGAGGATGGACCTGAATATGATGTCGATTCTACTCTGAATGAGGGAGCACCTCCAGGTGATGGTGAGACTTCTATGCAGAGAACAGTGCTCCTAGTATCAGCCTAGGCAGTGGCCACAATATGGGCCACAACACTGATAGGCAGAAAGGCCACATGTGATACACAAAAGACCAAGGTCTTGAAGGCTGACAGCTTGTCCAATTGTTGGCAGTCTGTCCTACACTAACCAATAGGTAAAAATACAAGGTGTCTTGTTGATTGCCAAATCCTGTTAGCTGGACTGTCTGTGGTAGCTGACATTATTAGACACTTGTTGAGACAGCCTTTTCATTTGGTCTCCACTGGTCTGTCCAGTATATACTGGGTATCTACTACGGTTCTAGTTACTTTCTATCCAAGACTGTTCCTGGATAAACTCACCCCGATAAAAACAAAAACAATTACCAATAATTTTAAGTTGGTGCTATGGGTTAAGCACTATGCTGCAAACTACAAGGTTGGCAGTTCAAAACCACCAGCTGCTCTGCAGAAGAACAATGAGGCTGTCTGTTTTTGTAAAGTGGCTAGTGGGTTCAAACTGGAAAACTTGCAGTTAGCAGCCCAATGCTTAACCTACAGCAATACCAGTGATCCATAACACATGATTTTTTGTTGCTGTAAAGTTCTGACTCACAGCAACTCTATATAAGGTTTCCAAGGAGCAGCTAGTGGGTTTAAACCACCCAACTTGTGGTTAGCTGTCCAGTGCTGATCATCTAGCCCCACACCAGGACTCCATAATACATTATAGTTGTTGTTAAGTGTCATCAAGTCGGTTCTGACTCATAGCGACTCTGTATAGGGTTTCCGAGGAGCAGCTGGTGAGCTTGAACCACTGATCTTGCAGTACAAACCGACCTTGTGGTTGAGTGCTTATCCTACAGTGCAATACCAGAGCTCCATTACATTTTAGATAGACATATAATAAAGGTAATATGACGGGGCTTCAAAGAGTTTTTTGAAAAATGGAATTAAATGATAATGATATTTTTTCTATGAACTTTTTGAGGTCCTCTTATATATAGGTACTCATCTCCATGTCTAACAAACAATTCTCCTGAATTTGGTGTTTATCACTTCCATATATTCATATATTTTTACCACATACTTACCTAGAGTAACAAAGATTTGGTTTGTTTGTATATCTACTTAAATTCTATCAGATGTATGCATTCTTCTGCAACTTACCGTTTTCTGGCTCATCACCATCATCCATGTGGATACATTTTCATTGTTATAAACTATCCCATCATATGAATACATAGTCTTTTCAACTATTCTCCTACTGATAGAAACTAGGTTCTTACAGTTGATTTTGTCATAAACAATACTGCAGAACCAGTTTTCTAAACTGCAGACAGAAGAGGCCTCTCCCCTGCCTAAAAATGTCAACATAGCCCAATCTCTCAGGCAATGCTGTTCCTCTAGGCCTAAGGATTCCACAGAAAAGCCTCTGGATTGTTGAAGGATGTAAAGGGGGCCCAACTGAACCCCGTTTAGTCTACACATTCTCAACACTCCCAAATTATGATGGTAAGGTTCTACGCTAAATATTGCCAAACTCTGGTTAAAAAGACAATATTGCTCAAGATATATTTTTGAGAAGAGAATTAGTTACCTAACCCCAAGATATCATGGTGGGAAAACCCAAAATATACCAAAATTTCATGCAAAGAAAAATCTTACCATCCATATCCTAATCCCATCAGCCAAGGAATACACCTGTGCAAACTCTTCGCTCAGGGCTGTCTTGCCCCCGCTGTTTACTGGGGAGAGAAGGGACGACCAAGAGATTACATTTAGTTAATACAGTGCCCCACTACAACAGTTAGCACAAAGCAACAGCAAAACCTCCTGACGCACAGAAACAACTCTTTCCCCGATACTCACACATTAGGGAAGAGGGGGGAAATGCATAAAGCACAAATACTGTCATGGGTTCTCTGTGGTACTTTAAGGTCATTTCCCTTACTGTCTTATTGCTGTACCATTTCTAAAGATAGCATCAAGTTGTCTACATTTTTGAAATTCAGACATACTAATTTTCTGTCCTTTGAAAAAAAAAAAAAAAACAACAACCAAACCCCACCTCTGTACATTATTCCAATTTGCAAAGTTCCCTTTTGTAGCATTTATTTATACATGGAATGCCAGGAACGTTTGTCTACATTTAAATTTCTGAAACCAAATGTTGATTGATAGTTTTGAAATGGAGATAATATGTAGCCATTACAAGTGAGAAAAATTACTGATATGGAAAAAAGCTTGTGGCATGTTAACTTAAAAAAAAAAAAAAAAGGAGGTTATGAAACAGTATCAACAAAATTATCTCACGTAAAAAAAGTATAAATATTAAAAACCTGGATGATATACTGCATTTGTGTGTGTGTGTATGTGTGTGTGTGTGTGTGTGTGTGTGTGTGTGTGTGAAGGTCCCTGGGTGGTGCAAACTGTGAAGCACTTGAGTACTAACGGAAAGGTTGGTGGTTCAAAGCTACCCAGTGGTCCTGTGGAAGAAAGGCGTGCTGCTCTACTTCTGTAAAGATTCCAACCAAGAAAACCCAGGGGAGAAGGTCTACTCAGCAATAGCTGGAGTCGTTATAACTCAGAATCACCTCAAAGACAATAGGTTTGGGTTTTTTTGGTTTTGGTGTGTGTATGAATACCTAGATGTACGCCCCAGTAAAAGGCCAGGAAGGCATTAAAGACTTCAGTAAACATCAGCCACTCTCCAAGAGAGATGAGCCAAAGTGATCACCTGGAGGTACCTCTCTAAGTGACGAGATGCTAGCTGGCAATTATTTTGAATTTTTTTGTACCTTGTACATTTCTATAACAAATTAGTATTATTTTATAATAAGACAAGTAAAACGCGCAAAAGTTTACTCTGTTTTTCGTAAAAACAGGAATACCTATGAGTCCAAAAACCAAAGGATAGAACACTAGAACAGTGTGCTGCGCTCTGTGCAGTTAATGTTTACTGACTACCTAGAATATGCCCCCTCTCTACGAAGGTCGGTGGTTCAAAGTTCACCAGCTGCTCCTCGGAAACCCTATACTACAGGGTCGCTATGGGTCGGAACTGACTCGAAGGCACTTCACAACAACATACAAAACACTGGGAATACAATGTAAAATGCAACAACAAAGCCAGATGTGTCCTCTGCCCTCATACAGCTTACAGTCTAATTCAAATAGTCTTCCTGTATGTTTCTAACTCTAAAAGGTAACCATGTTTTAGACACACAAAGATGAACAAATGAACAGTACAAAGGCCACTTGTCCATCCAAGTAGCTCAGTCTTAAGACATAGTCCATAGGTATGATCCCAACATCTTCGATGGGGATAGGAAGAACTAAGACACAACATGCCCTTCAAACCAGAACTGGTAGCTATTTCTAGGAACCACCAGTGGACAACTAAGTCGTTCTAGTTTCAACGTTTGCTTGTATGCATTTCAACTGCAAATAGGAATGAGGTATATGCACATGATTTTCAAAGGAGCTGAGGAAAGTCTCCCCCAGAAAAAAACAATAACAACTCTCTGTTTCTCATCTTGTAACCCACAAGGTTTTTGTTCCTCTACTGAAAACTCCCAAAGGTAATATTAGTTTACAGAAATAAATGGTGAATTATTTTCCCCCCAGAACCATACAAGTCACCTCAGCAATATCACCCAGTTGAGATATATTCTCCCAGAAATCACTCATGCCTCAATGTAGTTTTCCTTACTTAAATAGTTTCTTAAAGGAGTTATGAAGATTTGAAGGAGTAATTGAGATGCTTGAGAAGTTAGGAAATAAACTTTGCAATGGGAGATCCATAGGACTTAAGCAGTACATTGTTGCTGTTAAGTGCCTAGTGAGTCAGTTTGGATTCATAGTGATCCTGTATAGGATTCCAAAGCTACAGACCTTACAGTTAGCAGTCCAGTGTCTATCTTATAGAGCCGCAGCAGGACTCCTTAAGCAATGTAGGTGATAATAACAATATCAATAATAACAACATGAGCAACAATCACCTACTCTAATGGAAAGAAGCTCTTGTTCCTGCAGACAGCGTGCCAACATAAATAACACACAAACATACACTGAGTGGAAAAGACAAAATTAGGTAAGAAAGTTCTGGCATAGTGCCCCTGTACATACACCATGTGTCTCTCATGACATTTCAAGACGTGAACTGTGGCCTCATTTACCTTCATCCAAGAGTGCAAAAATGTTACTTCTAGTCATTATCTAATAAAGGTAGAAGTCATAGATCAGGTTTCATAATACCCTGGTAATTGAGATACTAACTGAAGCTGCATTTGGTATGGGGCAGTTTGTGTGTAGGCCTGAGAGAGGTTGAGTTCTTTATAGCTGATCTATACTCAGGTACATCCAATGGAGATAGGTAGAGGGCTGGGCAGAGGGCAGCCCGAGCACAGACTAGTTCCATGACAGGTGAGTGCTGTTGCCCACACACACCTGAGTCCTGTGGTGCTGGGCACACATGAAGCTGGTGAGCAGATGGTGTGGATATGGGCCCATCCCACCTGAGTGAGGGACACAGGACCTCTCTGCGCCCACGTGTTCATTCCTGACCTGCTCATCCACCCACTCAGGAGATTCAAATGGCCTAAGCATGGGGCTGGACAACGGGGTGTGCCACGCTGGCCTGGCCTGTTTGAGTGGCTTCTCTGGCCCAAGATGCACAGACCTGCACATCTCCTGAACTGGGGTCAGCCACTCTGGTGAGAGCTGTTTTAGGAATGGAAAAAGAGATTTCCTTCTGCATTGAAGAGCAGGGAAGGAATCCTGCTGAGAATGGGGCTGCTTTAGACACTGGAAGGAAAAGGTTGCTGCTGGGAACCAAACCTCCATATCATCAGGCACCAAGACAGAGACTTAACATCAAATCTACTGGACAGAAAAAGAAAAAACCTGAAACTGAAGTCATTACATGTAAAATATGTTGATATAGCACAGTTATGAAAATAATGTATGGGGATTGCACAGTATGTCAAAAATGCATAGTGTGTGTGTTATTTGCGTAAAAAACAGAGTGTTTCATTTGTACGATGGAAAGACCAAATCCTGCTAACATGCCTGGAAAAACCTTACCTCCCCTGCAGGTGGGCTTTGAAATGCTTTTCCCCTTAGTGTGAGTGTAAGAGGGACTCTCCCTTCCTGCAGATGCACTGAATGCCCAGAAACGGCATCCCTGGGACAGGCAGGGGCTAAAGAGATGGTGAGGACAGGCTACTGACAAAGGAAACCTGGCAGGGGGACACCACAAATGAACTGCAAGTCTACAGGTAAGAGTTAACATCATTTTCCTCCTTGGTCATGAGTATGTTCTATCATCTAAACATCTGAGGTGTTCATCAGACTTCCTTAGAATGTTAGCACTAACCAACTTTAAACCAATATTACAGATATGGAAACTGAAGCCCCCAAATGTTGTCTGATTGACCTGAAGCTGCCCGACTAATGAGTTTTTAAGCTGGGACCAGAATCCAAGCTAAGGTTTCTTTCCATTAAAGTTCTCGGTAATTTTCCATGAGAATTATGGATAAAGACAAATATCTGCTAATTATGAAACTCAAGGTTACCAGCCACAATTTGCTAATGATCAACTGGTCACGAATCTTTTGACAGGAAAAAAGCAGAAGTAACAGATGACGTCAACAGTTGCAGAAATGTGCTTATATTTATAAAATTTCACTTCAGACACACTATCTTAAAACTTAGCAATTAGCCTTCAGATCAGAAATAGTCCCTGTAGTATAAGTTACCATATTTTTGCAGCTTCTCATATAAGTCTGGAGTGCGATACACCAGAGCAGCAAACGTGGCGTTCACAGCTTGATCAATAGTAGAACCAGCAACTATATCTGTCTTTGGGGCCTGCTTTCTACATGCCTGTATAAATCCTTTGAAAAGCTCTGCATTTGGCCCACAGGAATTCTGAGCAGGATCTGACTGTGCAAAATCAAGAAGAAATTTGTGGCAGGGATTGTCAGGAATGTTCTTAACCTAGGAACAAAAAAGAATTATCACATTTAGGATACCCATTCAAAAAATAAGACTCATTGAACACACACGCAGTTAAAGCAGAAGTATAAAACAAGGCGCATACTCTCATGAAGTTTACATCTATTTTGGAGACCAGACAAGTCGGTTAAAAACAAAGGCAAACACAGATAAAATATTAAAAGCATTAATACTAGTAGTACCACAAAGCAAGAGATTGTCAAGTGCCACGTGCCTAGAAGGAACCCCCAGTGCTCAGAGTCCAAAGGCCAGAGCTCCTGGAAGGTTAATCATGAAGACAAATCTTCTGGAGGATACAGGCCTGGGGTAGACCCTGAAGGGTAAACAGGGTTGGCTACAACCAGGAACAGAGGTTAGATTTACGAAGGACAGTGAGGAAACTGCGCTGGGGGGTACTCGATTCACATAGGTAAGGTGAAAGGAAACTGTGGTGCCTTGACACTTACACTGAGGAGCTTAGACTTCACCTTGTGGGCAACATTGAGCCACTAGTGGTACTTGGCAGTGGGAAGACAAGATAATACAGTGATTTTAAAACACAAGCAACTTGGTGGGTACCACTGAAGTAATGCAGGTACAAGACAAGAGCCTAGATACAGATGGAGACAAGATAAACATCACCGGAAGGAATCTGCAGGGCTTGCAGCTGCCTGGATAGGACAAGCAAGAACAGGTGAGGATGAAGGTGAGCAGCGGCTCTATGCCTGGGCAAACAGTCATGTCAGTAACAGAAGCATAGTCGTCAGGTTTTACACTTCTGAGTTGAAGGGGACAAACCCACAACTGTCAAGTTACTAGTGGAGCCTATAAGATAAAGTAGAACTGCTCCATAAGGTTTCCAAGACTGGGAATCTTTATGACAGACAGCACACTGTCTCATCTTTCAGCAGTCTGAACCACTGACCTTGCAGTTAGCAGCCCAATAGTTAATCAACTGCATTACCAGGGCTCCTTTAAAGGGGGTCAGGACACTGAAACAGAAACTCCTACCAGGGAGATGAAGATACAGGATTGGACCTGGAGAAGAACCAGGGCTGGAAATGGATATTTATCAACTAATCACACAGAGGCAACAGCAGACAAGAGCAGAAAGGATAAAGGAATGGTGAGTTGGGAGGAAAGGGAGAAAAGAACAAGGCTTGACAAAAGCTGTCATGTACATAGGAGGGATAAGAGAGATCAGTAACGGAGGCCAATGAAGCAGTTAGATGTCAGAAAGGGCAGAGCATCTGAAGGAGCCAAATGTAACAAGTAGAGGAGAACAAAAATTGAAGAAGAGCCACTGGATCCAGTAATCAACTACTGAATAACCTGGAGGAATAACTTAGAGGAGGACAAGGAGGGAGAGCAGGAGGAGAAGTAGAACCATGGTAGAGGGAAGGAGAGATGAAAAATAGAGACAGCGGGCAGACTTGCTTAGTTTTCAAAACATAACAAACTGAGACAATGAACTACAGTACGATAGAAGGCAAAAGGTACAGCAAAAATCATCGACTATAAAGTTTGATTCGGCATCAGGAGACTCAACATGTTTGCTTGAGAATTCCATCAAGACAGATTTCCTGAGCAATACTAGATTGCACTGAAGAGTCATTTGCTTTATACTTAAGACCACCCATTATGCACTGACCACTGTAGTACACAGTGGAGATACCAAATGAACAATGGTGGGCAGGACAACTGTTCATAACATAAAGTAGTAAATATTAGTAAACATTTCCCACTCCAAACAGTCAGACAATAGAAGAATAATTACCTCCTTATTCTCCTGGTGTAGATGAGTGGGCCAATGTGCATCTAATTCCAACTCTGGACAGATCTGGTGCCTGAAGACAGGTTTCCACAAGGGCGAGTTTAGGACCAATGCCATTTTTGCCTGAGGTACTGCTATGTTACTTCCTAACTCTAGAAAGAGAAGAAGGCTTATTAGAGATTTGAGAATCTTTGAATAAACAAAAGAAGTTTTTAAAAAACCTTGGATATTATTAAAACTTTACAGGAATTCACCCACATTCATCAGAATATCATTTTAATACTTCACAAATAAAAGCACTTATAAACTAAATCACAAAAAATAAGTCCCCAAAAGCTGCCATCTGTAAAACAGCCTCAGTTACAAAGTGCTTTCGAAATGACAACTTTGTATAGTAAGCTGAAAGCAGAATGGTAGCCACCTGTAAGGAGGCCAGTTAAAATATTTAACTATGAAAACGGTCACCATTTAGTAAAAAATAATAAATTCCCACCATAAACGTGTATATAAATGTTGCCATTATATGCTGTTGAGTCAATTCCAACTCGCAGTGACCCTGGTACAGGGTTTTGAGAGCAGCTGGTGGGTTTAAACTACTGACCTTGTGATTAACAGTAGTCCAATACTTATCCTATAGCACCAGAACTAAGATGTATATAAATTTGTTGTTGTCGTTAAATGCCGTCGAGTTGGTTCCGACCAACTCTGAACAGCGACCTTGAACAGGGTTTGTTTCCGAGGCTGTAAATCTTTACAGGAACAGAAAGCCTCATCTTTCTCCTGTAGAGCAGCTGGTAGTTTCGAACTGCTGACCTTGAGGTTCGCAGCCTGATTCATAACCACTATGCTACCAGAGCTCCTTGTTGTTGTTAGGTGCCATCAAAAGGATACCGACTCATAGCTACCCTATGCACAACAGAACAAAACACTGCCTGGTCCTGGGCCAACCTCACAGTCATTGCTACATCTGAGCCCACTGATAATGCCACTGTGCCAATCCATTTTTTCCTTTTTCTCCAACCCTCCACTTTACCAAACATGATATCCTTCTCCAGTGACTGGGTCCTCCTGACAATATTTCTGAAATATGAGAGACGAAGTCTGGCCATCTTGGCTTCCAAGGAGCACACTGGCTGTACTTCTTTCAACACAGAGCTATTTGTTTTTTGGCAGTCCATGGTACTTTCATATTCTCCTCCAATACGATAACTCAAATGCATCAACTCTTCTACGATCTTCCTTATTCACTATTCAACTTTCACATGCATATGACGTTACTGAAAATCCCATGGCTTGGGTGAGGTGTACCTTAGTCCTCAAGCTGACATCTTTGCTCTTCAACACTTTAAAGAGGTCTTGTGAAGTCAGTCTGCCTAATGCAACGCGTCATTTAATTTCTTGACTGCTGCTTCCATGAGTGTTGATGGCTGATCCAAGCAAACTGAAGTCTTTGACAACTTCAGTCTTTTCTCCATTTACATGGATGTTATTTATTGGGTCAGTGGTGAGGATTTTTGTTTTCTTTACATTGAGGTACAACCCATACTGAAGGCTGTGGTCTTTGATCTTCATCAGGAAATATATATATTTTTAATGTTTTATTGTGAATTATATGATAGTTTACATGTTTACATGAGAGAACTTTAGTTTTACATTCATTCCATCATATATCATTTCATTGCCATGGTTCCAATCCCCTTCATGCATCATTAACCGACCAAAGGGTATATCCTAGAAACCCGCCCCCTACTCTCCCCCCTCCCCCTCCAGTCTTCGGCCCACAAGCCCTCTCCCTCTCTGGATTCAAAGTTCCCAGCTGCTTCATCACTCCACATCATCATCTCTGTCTCCATCTCAGGGATCTCTGGTGGTCCCGCTCTCGGCTCTTCTCTGTTGATGGTCCTAGAGACCTCCGCTCCTAGACTGGAGAAATAATCGCTCCCTTCCTTGCTATAAAACGTCTACTTTTGCACTTCCAATCCTCATAATCAGTCCTAATAACCGTTATTCCCTACAGTATCATGAGTTACCCATCTGTATTTCATTTCATCAGCTCCACCTAGATAGATTAGATAGTACTCACTGGAGATTCTGCCTTCCTCCAGGCCCCCTAGCTCTAGGCTCATCAGGAAATATTTTAAGTCTTCTTTGTTTTCAGCAAGCAAGGTTATTTAAATGATAATTTGCGTATCACAAATTGTTAGTTTTCCTCCAATCCTGATGCCACGTTTTCCCTCATATAATCTAGTTTATCAGATTATTTGTTTAGCATACAGACTGATTAAGTATGGTGAAAGAATACAATGCCAACACATACCTTTCCTAATTTTAAACTATTCAGTGTTCCCTTGTTCTATTCAAACAACTGCCTCTTGGTCCATGTACAGGTTCCTCATGAGCGCAATTAAGTGTTCCGAATACTCATTCTCTGTAATAGCTTGTCATGATCCACATAACTGAAAGCCTTTGCATATTAATAAAGCAAAAGTAAACATCTTCCTGGTATTTTCTGCTTTCAGCCAAGATCTATCTGACATCAGCAATGATATCCCTCATTCCATGTTCTCTTCTGAATCTAGCTTGAACCTCTGGAAGTTCTCTGTCAGTGTATGGTTGCAGCCATTTCTGTATTACCTTTAGTAAAACTTTACTTGCATGGGATATCAATGAAATGGTCCAATGATTTCCACATTCCGTTGGGTTACCTCTCTTGGAATGGGCACAAATACAGATCTCTTCCCATCCGTTAACCAGGTAGTTGTCTTGCAAATTTCTTGGCATAGATGAGTGAGTGCCTCCAGTGCCACATTACTTTGTTGAAAGATTTAAATTTGTATTCCACCAATTCCCAATGCCTTGTTCTTTGCCAATGACTTCAATGTACCTTGGACTTCTTATCATCTGCTCTAGATCATATGCTACTTCCTGAAATGATTGAACATAGACGATTTCTTTTTGGTACAGTGACTGTATATTCCCTCTATCTTCTTTTGATGCTTCCTGCATCATTCAATAATTTGCCCATAGAATCCTTTAATATGGCAAATCGAAGTTTGAAATTTTTTCTTCAGTTCCCTCAGCTTGAGAAATGCTGAGCATGCTCTTCCCTTTTGGCTTCCTAACACCAAGTCAGTGCATATTTTGACTTTGTCTTCTCGAGCTGACCTTTGAAATGTTCTGTTCAGCTCTTGTATCTCCTCACTTCTTCCATTTGCTTTAGCATCTCTATGCTGGAGAGCAAGTTTCAGAGTCTCTTCTGATATTCATTTTGGTCTTCCTTCTCTCTTGTCTTCTCAATGACCTTTTGCTTTCTTCTTGTATGATGTTCTTGATGTCATCCCATAGCTCTTCTGGTCTTCCATCTTTAGTGCCTAATGCATCAAATCTGTTCTTGACATGATCTCTAAATTCAGGTGGGATATATTCAAAGTCTTATTTTGGCTATTGTGGACTTGTTTTCATTTTCTTCAGCTTCAGCCTGAATTTACAAATGAGCAATTGATGGTCTGTTCCACAGTCCGCCACTGGCCTTATTTTGGCTGATATGGAGTTTTCCCACCATCTCTTTCCACAGATGCAGTCAATTTTATTTCTGTGTATTTCATCTGGTGAGGTCCATGTGTAAAGTTGTCTTTTATGTTGTTTAAAAAAGGTATTTGCAATGAACAAGTCATTGGTCTTGCAAAATTCTATCATGCGATCTCAAGCATTGTTTCTATTATCTAGACCCTATTTTCCAGAGCTACTAACTTTAATTCCAACTTTTGCATTCCAGTAATTATCAATATATCTTGATTGCATATTTGATCAATTTCAGACTAAAGAAGTTGACAGAATTCTTCAATTTCATCATCACTGGCTTTAGTGGTTGGTGCATAAATTTGAATAATAATGGTATTAACTGGGCTTCCCTCTTGTTGTTGTTGTTGTTGTCAAGTGCCGTTGAGTCAATTCTGACCCATAGCGACCCCGTATAGGGTTTCCAAGGAGCAGATGGTGAGCTTGAACCACCGACCTTGCAGTTCAAATGGTTTTGCAGTCTGGTGCATTAACCCACAGTGCCACACCAGCATGGTTTGCTATGATGGGAAAGACAAATTGAAGAGGAATGGCATTGCATTCATTACAGGTCTGTAGGCATATACATATATTATCCTATCACAGACAGCATGTACCTCCTTGATGATCTTGATATGTTCTTTTTAATGATGAACGAAATGCCATTCGTCTTCAATCTGTCATTCCCAGCATAGGAAACCACGAGATTGTCAGATTCAAAATGGCCAGTACCAGTCCATTTCATCTCAATAATGCCTAGGACTATCGATGTTTATTACATTACATTTCATTTTTGGCAATTTCTAATTTCCTAGATTCATACTTTGGATATTCCATATTCCGTTTATTAATGGGTTTTCACAGCTGTATCTCCTCATTTTGAGTTATGCCTCATCAACAAATGAAGGTCCTGAGGGCTTTACTCCATTTGCATCATCATGGTCAACTCTACTTTGAGGAGGCTGTTCTTCTCCAGTTGCATCTTGAGTGCCTTTCAACTGAGGGGTTCATCTTCCAGCCCTATATCTGACAGTATTGTGCTTTTTTATCATGTTTCAATATTCAATAATCTGGTGATGACAGTGTTCCACTACTATTCATAAGATTTTCAGTGACTAAATATTCTGAAGTAGTCCGTCTCTCCTTCCTAGTCTGTCTTCATCTGAAAGCTCAGCTGAAATCTGTCCACCATGGGTGACCCTGTTAGTACTTAAAATATCAGTGACATAGTTACACATAAGCCACCACAGTACAACAAACTGACAGATAAGTGGTGTCTATAAATAGGGGTGTGTGTATATATTTATGTTTGTGTGTTTTTTTTGGCATATAAATAGGCATAAAAAAGGCTAAGTAAAAATCAAATTGTTTATAATGGTTATCTTAGAGTGTAGAATTCAGGATGACTTTACTTTTTTTTTGGCTTTTTTCCATTATGTCAATTTTCTATATTAGGTTTTTTAATTAGAAAAACTAAAAAAAAAAAAAAGAAATAGAAATAAAATACACTCAAAAAAATTATATTCTGTAATGCCTTGGATGAATTTAATAACTAAATTGAACAAATCAAGACAAAACTTACATTCACATATTTAAATATATGTGTATATATCTTTACTTAAGTAATGACATTTTCAAAGGACATATAATGAAATTATTCTATACTTTTGTCTTCTGGTTGGAGCCTACCTAAGCCCACTTACATAAAGATGATGGCAATGCTGCTAGGAAAAAAGAAGAAGAAGCTGCTGCCTCTCCAACTGTCCTCTATAGAGGAGAGAATCCACAGCATGCTTTGTGACGTATTCCAAAGTTTGAGTTAAGACACTCTATGAAGGAGCTCTGGTAGCGTAGTGGTTACGAATCGGGCTGCGAACCTTAAGGTCAGCAGTTCGAAACTACCAGCCGCTCCACGGGAGAAAGATGAGGCTTTCTACTCCCGTAAAGATTTACATCCTAGGGTCGCTATGGGTCGGAATCGACTCGACGGCACTTAACAACCAACCAATGACAACAGTATCTGGTGGATATTTCATTCTTCATTGGATAAAAGGAGAGTAAAGGGAATATTGTTGACCCCCTTGCTATACTGCTGCATGGAGACACCTTGCACAGGAGTGAGAATGCACCTTGCCCTCCACAGCAGGCATGTGGACTTACGACGAGCAGACTTGAGTGCCATGCACTGAGAAGCAAGGCGTCCCATCAGTCGGGAAACAAGGAGTTGCAAATCCAATCCCCAAGAAACAGCGACATCGGGCAGGCCATAGGCAGTGACGGTGAACTTGTAGCCCCACTCATTATTACTGCTGTCAGAGTGGAAGAGGAACTGGAGCCGAGGACCAGCCTTAAAGGTCACTTTCTAGAGACACATAAGAATGGCAAGTGGTTAAACAAACTCGAGGAGGCAGCAGTTCAGTAACAAGCATGTTCTTCATGACTCAAAGTAATCTACATTTAAAACTGTCTTGTACTCCCACCATCAGTTCAAAACTACTCAAGGGGAAAAAAGTACCAAGGGGTGACTGAAACAGGAAATTCACAACTGCACTTCAAGGAGGGGAAGAGCCGGCAGAAAACTGCTATCAGTTTTCTAAACCTTGGATGTCTATCTGCCTCCTACCTCCTCAGGCAGGGATCATGTTCATCCATTCCTTTGCTCCCAGCCAAGATCACTAACCACAGAGAAAGAAGCTAAATGGTCTGAGACAATACTTAACCTCCACACCCAGGAGATCATGAAGCCCTAACTGAACGCAGTGCGTCTTTCACCAACTTCTGGGTCATGCCTATCCTGGACCTGAAAGCTTTTCCTTGCTAAGGATTATAATTCTTTACTGACTCTGGACAATGCTGATAAAAACCCAGAGAGTAACTATTTAAGACTTTGTAGGCCACATGGTCTCCATGTGACATACTCAACTCTGCCAATGTAGTGCCTAAGCATCTACAAAAGTCCTGTAAACAAAAGGCGTGAAAAAGGAGATATTATTTACAAAAATGGGTGAGGCATAGTATTCTTCCTCTTCCCAGGAGCACCACTCACCTTGGGCCATTTATCAGTGCCTACTTTTGTGTCATAGCGTGTTTTCCCACCTCTGGCATCGGTAAATTCCAGATAATCATACCTGCAAAACATAATCTTTATTTACTTTCCCTCTCTTATTTTTGATCCATTATTGATTGCTTGGGGGCATTAGTCATCTGCCAGTCTGTCATACTGTGGTGGCTTACATGTTGCTATAATTCTGGAAGCAATGCTACCAGAATTTCAAATACCAGCACGGTCACCCTTGGTGGACAGGTTTCAGTGAGTTTCCAGACTATGACATTCAGAAGCAGAATCACTACTTCTAAAAAATTGACAAATGAAAACCTTATGAACAGCAGTGGAACTGTTGGAAGATGAGCCCCTCAGGTTGGAAGGCACTCAAAACAGGACTTAGAAAGAGCAGCCTCCTTAGAGTAGAGTAGAATTGACCTGAACAATGCGAATGGAGCAAAGCTTTCAGAACCTTCATCTGCTGATACAGCATGATTCAAAATGAGAAGAGCTGCAAACATCCATTAATAATTGAAATGTGGACTGTATGATATATGAATCTAGAAAAATTGAAAGTTATCAAAATGAAATAGAATGCTTAAAGATTGAGCTCTTAGGCATTAGTGAGCAGAAATGGCCATTTTGAATTGGACAACAATATGATCTACTATGCTGTCTTGTTTTGTTTTTTGGTAAAACTTTGCTATTAATGTTGTCAGTCTGTTATACTGTGGTGGCTTATGCATTACTGTGATGTTGGAAGCTATGTCACTAGTATTTCAAGTACCAATAGAGTCACCCATGGTGAACAGATTTCAGTGAGTTTCCAGACTAAGATGAAAGGGGGACAGACCCCTTCTGAAAGGTTAGTCACTGAAAACTGTACGAATACAGCTGAACACTGTTTGATTTTATTCTGTTCAAATTACTGCTTTTTGGTGAATGTACAAGTTCCTCATGAATACAACTAAGTGTTCTGGAATTCCTATTCTTTGCAATATTATCAATAGTTATGATCTACACAGTCAAATGCTATTCTCTGCTTTCAGCCAAGATCCAGCAATGATATCCCTAGTTCCACGTCCTTTTCTGAATTTGTCTTGAATTTCATATACGAGTTCAAGTTGAAGCTGAATAAACTTAAAACAAGTTCATGAGACTCAAAGCACAACCCTGAGTATATCCCATCGAAGTTTAGAAATCTTCTCAAGAACAGATTAGATGCACTAAATACTAATGACTGAAGACCAGATGAGTTGTGGATGACATCAAGGACATCATATATGAAGAAAGCGAAACGTCACTAAAAAGACAGGAAAGAAAGAAAGAAAAAAACAAACAAAATGGATGTCAGAAGAGACTCTGAACTTGCTCTTGAATGTACAGCAGCTAACAGGACTGGAAGAAATAATGAAGTGAAATAGCTGAACAGAAGATTTCAAAGGGTGGCTCAAAAAGACAAAAAGCAGTGTAATGAAATGTACAAAGACCTAGAGTTAAAAATCCAAAGAAGAAAAACATTCTCAGCATTTCTCAAGCTGAAATAATTAAAGAAAAAAACCTTAAACCTTGAGTTAAAATGGTGAAGGATTCTATGGGCAAAATATTGAACAATGCAGGAGGCATCAAAAGAAGATGGAAGGAATACACAAAGTCATTGTACCTAAAACACCTAGTCAACATTCAACCATTTCAGGATGTAGTACATGATAAAGAACCAATATCACTGAAGGACGAAGTTTAAGCTGCATTTAAGGTACTGGCAAAAACAAGGCTCCAGAAATGGATGGAATACAACTGATGCTTCAACATATGGATGCAGTGCTGGAAGCACTCATTGGTTTATTCCAAAAAACATGGATCTGGCCTGGTCTGCATAGGTAAGCTGGACAATTAATAAGGAAAACCATTTAAATTATAGTCTTGGTGAAGAATATTGAATATACCATGGACTGCCACAACAAAGAACAAATTTGTCTTGGAAGATGTACTCATATATGGAAACTCTTCATCTTAGGTTCTCTGGACATGTTGTCAGAAGGGAGCAGAGTCCCTGGAGAGGGACTTCATGCTTGGCTAAGTAGAGGGTCAGGGAAAAGAGGAAGACCTTCAATGAGATAGAATGACCAACTGGCTCAAAACAGCAAAGGATTGTGAGGAAGGCTCAGGTCTAGGCAGTGTTTTGTTTTGTTTGACTCAGATCACTGTGTTGGAACTGACTTGACAGCATGTTAAGAACAGCAACACTGGTTGGGACTAAAGAACATAGATGTAACTCTTACCTTTTTTCAGTTTCACACCTCTCATCAAATTCCACCTCAAAATAGGTTGCCCCTGGACTAACGAAGACAGACACCTCATGGCAATTATTTTCGTAGTTGTGGGCAGATTCCTTAGTCCATGTATGTAACACCACAGGCTGTTCTTGCTGCCAAGTCTCAACCTCCAGCTATGCAAACAAACCAGTCAAGAAACAGCGGCTTATCACTCTTATCCAGCCACGGGTGATTTCAGATCAGTGTCCCAGACAGGCTTTGACAACCTACACAAATCACCACACAGGCAGAGGTACACCTGACACTCCCATCTACTTCTAAGTTCATGGAAAAACGGCATTCAAACAAAATAGAATTTTTCCAGGAACTTTTAGAAGGCCTCTTATCTCTCAACATAAATTTGCCATTCAACATAGTGGATATGTGGTTTTTAATTATACGACAGCAACTCTGATCAACTTAACATGGTATCTTTCAATGACAATAAAACTATTTCTTAAAATCATTACCAGGCAAGAATTTCCAAGGTAAAAAAGATCCCAAACTTCTAGTTCTGTTCTGTCACTTCAAAAATGAACTGTTGGCAAATGTGTCTTGCTTTGTTTTATTCTTTCTTACCTCTACAATAGCTTTTAATATGTGTCCTTCCTACTCCCAAAGGATTGTTGTGAGACTTAAAACAAGATAGTGAAAAAACACTGTGAACTATAAACTTGCGTGAAGAAAAAAATACTTTAATATACCAAATCTTCTAATCTGCCTTCCAACATATTTTCTCTTCTAAACTTCAATCTGGTTATTTACTCAGCTGGTTTTAATATCACTTTATGTGCTGACATTGATGTATGGAGAGTTTTTATGTACAGTGTGTCCTTTCTAACACTTGTCATGCCAAATCAATGTGAACTGGTACTTGGGCTTGTTAGCAAAGCCCCTGATAAGGGGGTCTTCTAGAGGCAATTTATTTGTGTAGCTCTGTTCTCTGTTCACATACCTCCTAAGGGGATACACAGGAGGTTCGAGTGGCAACGAGAGTTACCTTAGTCAACCCTCCCTCAGGGTCGCTGCAGAGCTTCTTTAGCAATTCTATCATGGTACTGAACTCTCGCAGCAGAGTGCAGTGTGAAATGTCTAAAGGGCAGAAGTCCAGCAGGAAGATTACCTAAAGGAAGATGAACAAAATGCTTAGCTTCCACCTCAGACTCTGCCAGGTGGGTCACCTGGTGTATCATCAACTCCCTTCCCACCCTTCACAGAGAACTACCACTTTCTCTTACCAGTTGACGAGCTGCCATCGAAAACACAGAATTACATAATTTTTCTACTATAATTTTCCCACTGTACTGCGACAAAAGGGATTCCAAAATTACCGCCATCCTTGCCAGAAACTGTTGCACATCTATCAAAAAATTTTAAAAAGAAAGAAAAGGACTCATATTTTCCATGGCAGAACTACCATTGGCTTGGTTATCATCAAGGGCAAAGCTGGAGGGGAGTCACACAGAACGACCATGAGAATAGTGTCATCCAGATGCTTTCCTTGAGGAGGAAAAAGCAGCACAAATTTCAATAGACACTTTGTGGGGGTTTTGTTTTGTTTTGGTCTTTGCTACTTTTCGATGAGGAGGATATAGTGCTTTTATGGTGAAGTGAATTAGGCAATTAACTAAGTTACTGACTTCTCTCCCTGTTGTTTACCCCAGGGTATGCAGGTGTGACAAGCTGAACTTTAAGTGACATGACCAGAGACTCAGCATTTTTGTCACAGATGCAAAGACCAAGTAACTGAATTTGCCACATATGATTTCTCAGAACCTGCTGCGTTTCATACTATCTTCTGTGGGTTCCATGACGTGAATCTGAGTGGTTTCTGTGATCAGCAAAGATCAGACCTTAGACTTTATTAGTGCAAGAATGTCTTTTTGAAGATGAACTGATTAAAACAGGGATGAAAGACTACTGAAGAGTGAGACATCATCTAAGAGGGCTGTATGGATGTACAGGTCATGTTTAAGCCATGAAATGACCCAATTCTATAATAAAAACACTTAGACTACCACATTCTGACAGGGTAAGAGGACACGCTAGAGACTCTTTTTAAAGTAGAAAAAACAACCCCCAAATCAGTTCTGACTTGTAATAAAGAAGAGAAAACCATACCCACAGGGAGAGTTACTGAAGGGAATACACACACAGTCAAAGTCCTATCTGTTCTCGTGGACTTTGGATTGAGACTCACATTTTTCAAGAAGGTCAACGGCCACCTCTTTGGCTCTGGTGTCTGTGCTCTTCAGCTGCAGGTAGCACCAGGAGAACAGGCTGCCCTGGACAGACCAGTACAAGGAGAAAAGCACAGAGCCCACTTCCCCTTGGGCACCATTGAGCATCAGCAGCTCACACTACAAGGGAAGAGACAAAGACAATGAGTTCAGACAAGGCCACTCATAGCATATAGTCACAGGCATACACTGAGAGTGGCTAAAACATGGGGGTGGGGGTGGGGGTGGGGGGGTGTGGAGTCATGAAAGAGCTTTCAACACAGAAGTGACCAAGAAAGAACAAGATGATGAAAACTTCTCTCTTGCCTTCCAGCTTTTCAGACCTTTACCAGATGGCATCTCCCTCTGCCATCTGAACCCTTACCCACTGGTTACTCTCTCACATGTTCAGTCTCCTCCCTTTATGCCTTCAATGAAATCTCTCCTAACTCAAAAAATCATCCCCCACCTCTTTATGACTCTGTAAGCATGCTCTTTGTTCACAGGAGGGTTTTTTTTTGTTTTTAAGTTACCTTTGGTATCCCAAGTACATGAGTACAGGGTGTGTTCATATCAGCACTGGCTTGTAAGCACTTCAAAATGGAACCAACTATAGCTCCGAACTATTTCCAAAGAAATAAGAAACTGTGGCATATTCATAAAAGAAATAGTGATACTAGTGGAAAACAAATCAACTGCAGCACATAATGTCAACATGGATTAATCTCAAAAACACCTCTGACTGAAAAAAGCAAGTCACATAAGATTGTGTACCATATGATGCCATTAAAGTCAAAATGTGGGTGAAAAAAAAAAAACAAAGAAATGATGACTAGAAACTGAGAATAGTGGTTCCCTCTGCTGAGGAAGGAGGAGGGTAAGCCATGAAAGGGCATGTGCAGGGAGCGGGACTTCAAAGACATGGTTATATTCTAGTTCTTAAAAAGAATGGTTGCTTCTTTAAATTATTCATACATATTTATCTTTTGTATAGGTATTCCATTTAAAAATCTGTCTGCACCTGCTCTTTTTGCCTTCCCCTCCCTCCCAACCATTCTACTTTTTCTGTTATCACTACTCATTGACACCTAGCTCCAAAGGCATCCTCCAAAGACTCCTCTTAGCTTAATGTTACTTAGAGGTTCTACTGACCACTTTTCTTCTTGAAACTCTCTCCTCCCTCAGCTACTGTCTCTCTTGGATTTCCTCCTTCCCCTCTGGCTACTCCTTCTCACTATCCGTGCTGTCCCTTCTATACTGATGTTCCTCAAGATGTCCATTGTGATGTGATGACATCTACACTCATGGCTTTAACTATCACCTGTTTGCTAACAATTGCAAAATCTGGTACCCACCACCGACTCATCAAGTGTCCAACCAACTGATCTCACCACCTGATGTCCTACAAGAACCATAAATTCAACATAGTCGAAGTCTGGTCACTGTCATTTTCCTCTTCAAATACCTGATCCTCCCTATGTTGCCCTTAATAAAACCTTATTCATGGTTTCACACCGAGCTCCAATCTCATCCCCTCTGAAAAACCTTTCCCAAATTCTACTCCCCGCCTCTACTAGAAAAGTTTAGGTACACTCTTCTGTACCACAAAAGGCTCTGCTCACCTCTGTGTTAGCCCTTACTGCATTATGTTATAGTTGTCTGATTGTTTGTCTGCTCCTGAAGACTGTGCTCCAAAAGCAGGGGTCTTTTATTACTGAAGCTCCTATGCCAAGGACCTGGCACACAGCAGGAATTCAGTGGATGTTTGTTGAATTAATAAATGAATAGACTTATGAAAAATCATTCAGATTAAGCATTTTTTACCACCTTAAAAAAAATTTAAGCCATTCTCTTTCATATAACCATATATATTTTTACTGAAAGGCACTAAAACCACTCAAGGCAATGCCTTAACTGTTTCAGTAATACCATGGCCTAGTGGTGGTTATGTGCTTTGGAGTCGGTTCAACTCACAGTGACCCTGCAATAGGGTTTCTGGGGCTATAAATCTTTATGGGAGCAGAAAGCCTCATTTTTTCCCTGAGGAATGGCTGGTAGTTTTGAACTGCTGACCTTGAGGTTAGCAGCACAACTTGTAACCACTACACTAGGAGGCTAAAAAAAAATCTGTAACTTCCTTTGTATCACAGACAAGTGAATTCAGATGGAGAAATCATGGAAAATACACTTGGACAAATACTGTGTCCTTTCTCCAAATACATCTTACAGTAAGGCTAATAGACTGGAAAGAAGCCAAGATTCAGAGTCCAACGGCCTGAGTTTTAGTCTGGCTCCAGCTCATACCAACTCCTTACGCAGGAGGCAGAACTGTTATTGTCGCTGTTAGGTGCCATTGAGTCTGTTCTGACTCATAACAACTCTGTTTACAACAAAACAAAACACTGCCTGGCTCTATGTCACAGTCACATTTGCTACTATTTTGAGCTCATTGTTGTAGCCACTGTGTCAATTCATTGAGGTAAAGTCTTCCTCTTTCTCACTGACCCTCCAACTTTACCAAGCATGGTGTCATTTTCCAGGGACTGGTAAAGTGTGTGAGACAAAGTCCCACGGTTCTCCTTTCTAAGAAGCATTCTGACTGTGTTTCTTCCAAGACAAGATTTGTTTGTTCTAGCAATCTACGGTACATTCAAAATTTTCATCAACATCATAATTCAAATGCATCAGTTCTTCAGTCTTCCTTATTCGTTATGTAGTTTTTGCATACATATGAGGCAAAGGAAAACACCTTGGGTCAGACTCACCTTAGCCCTCAAATGGCATTTTTGCTTTTCAACACTTTAAAGAAGTCTTTTGCAGCAGCTTTGCCCACTGCAATATGATTTCTTGACTGCTGTTTCCATGGATGTTGATTATCCAAATAAAATGAAACCCTCAAAAACTTCAATTGTTTTTTCATTTACCACGATATTGCTTATTGGTCGAGTTGTGAGGATTTTTGTTTTCTTTGTGTTGAGGTGTAATCCATACTGAAGGCTGTAGTCTTTGATCTTCATCATTAAGTGTTTCAAGTTTTATTAGTTTTCAGTAAACAATGTCGCACCATCTGTACATTGAAGGTTCTTAATAAGCTTTCCTCCAATCCTGATGTTCTGTTCCCCTTCATATACGCCACCTTCTTGGATTATTTGCTCAAGGTACAGATGACTAAGTATGTTGTTGTTGTTTTTACGTGCCATCGAGTCGGTACTGACTCAGAGCGACCCTATGCACAACAGAATGAAACACTGCCCGATCCTGGGCCAACCTAACAATTGTTGCCACACTTGAGCCCACTGATGCTGCCACTTTGCCAATCCATCTTGCTGGGGGTCTTCCTCTTTTTCTCTGACCAAACATGATATCCTTCTCTAGCAACTGGTCTCTCCTAAGTATGAGAGATGAAGTTTGGCCATCCTGGCCTCCAAGGAGCATTCTGGCTGTACTTCTTCCAAACACAGATCTGTTGGTTCTTTTGGCAGCCCATTCACTTTCAATATTCTTCTCCAACACCATTAACTCAAAAGCATCAATTCTTCTACGGTCTTCATTATTCACTGTCCAGCTTTCACATGCATATGAGGTTATTGAAAATACCATGGCTTGGGTCAAGCACACCTTAGTCCTTAAGCTGACATCTTTGCTCTTCAACACTTTAAAAAGGGTCTTGTGCAGCATATTTGCCTAATGCAGTATGTTGTTTGATTTCTTGACTGCTGCTTCTGTGAGTGTTGATAGTTGATCCAAGAAGAATGAAGTTCTTGACAACTTCAATCTTTTCTCTGTTGATAAGAATGTTGTTTAATGGTCCAGTGGTGAGGATTTTTGTTTTCTTTATATTGAGATGCAATCCATAATGAAGGGCATGCTTTTTGATCTTCATCAGTAAATGTTCTGAGTCCTCTTCACTTTTAGCAAGCAAGTATGACTAAGTATGAGGGGCTTCAAAAAGTTCATGACAAATTTCCATTTTCTTTCAATTTCAGTTTTTCACAAACTTTTTGAAGCCCCTCATATGGTGAATGAATACAACCTTGACAAAGAAGTGTCCTGATTTTAAATCAAGCAGCATCCTTTTGTTCTGTCTGAATGATTGCTACTTGGTCTATGTATAGGTTCTTAATGAGCACAATTAAGTATTTTGGAATTCCCACTCTTTGCAATGCTATCCATATTTGTTATGATTCTAACAGTTGAATGCCATATTGCCTGTAGATCCGTGCAGATGTCAGCAGCCTGCCATCTTACCTGCTGACCTTGGATTAATTCGTCTCTGTAGCTAGAAGATTGCCATCTGACCTGCCAATCTTGAGTTCATCAGCCTCTACAGCTTTGTTAGTCAGAAGCCTCTAGCCTGACATCTTGGTCTTGGAATCAGCCAGCCTCTACAACTGTGTGAACCATTTCCCTGAGATAACCTCATTCTTGCTTTCTCTATTTCTTTGTCTATCTATCCATCCATCCATCCATCCATGCTTGGGCACTATGACACCATGTTTGGTAGAGTAAGTTAGCAAAAAAGAGGAATATCCTCAATGAGATGGACTGATACAGTGGCTGCAATGATGGGCTTACATTTAGCAACAATTGAGGCGCCGGCACAGGGATGGTCAGTGTTTCATTCTGTTGCACAAAGGGTCACTGAGTCAGACTCGTCTTGATGGCACCTAACAATACGGTCTCTATGATCCATTTGCTCTTAGAAATCTTGTTGACTGGCCTATCATTCTAGCTAGCTGAGAATGAATGAAATCATGGTGCTAGTAGCAACTTTTAAAACTGTTGTTGTTGTTCAGTGCTGTGAGTCAGTTCCTACTCATAGCGACCCTATGTAGAGCACTGACAAAATGTAAGAGACTTAATAACAGCTACGAGTTATAAGAAAAGCCATCTTAATGAAGTCCATGTCATTAACAGTCTCAAGGGAGTGGTTTGAATTGTCTTGCCACAAAATCTGCTCTTAATTAATATAGACCAAAGAGACTTCCTGGTCCCCCTAGTTTAGTGATTATACCACTTCAAAATCTCTTGAGGTGCATAATGAAAATGCAGATTCTTAAGTCCTAAGATGAGGCTTTCTGTCCCACAAAGTTTTAAAGCCTCAAAAATCCTATACATGTTCGCTATGAGTCAGAACTGACTCCATAGCACTTAACAACAGCAACAACATCTTGGAGACTAAAAAATCCAAACTTTTTGCCACTGGGTTGATTTTAACTCACAGCAACCCTATAGAATAGAGTAGAACTGCCCCATAGGGTTTCAAGACAGTAAACCTTTACAAAAGCAAACTGCCACATCTTTTTCCCACAGAGTGGCTGGTGTGTTTGAACTGCTGATCTTTCAGTTGACAATTGAACACTTAACCGGTCCTATCCTAAAGACACTAAATCTAGGGCCTAGGAATTCAAATTTGTCAAAAATCCCAGATTATTCTCACCCAGCTGGTGCAAGGAATACATTTGGAGAAGCAAAAACTTTATGATCTTTTTAAAGAAAAGCAAAAAAAAATTTTTTTAAATCATTAGTACAGAAAAAAAAGATATTTTCAGATTTGATGATTCTACTCATTTGTTTAATAACTTAACTTTAAAAATCAAAGTAATTTTCTACAAAACTCGTAACACAGATCTACCAGCATAATAGCTATCCACTGAGCTCAATGACTGGCACTATAGACGCCTTGGTAAAATCTGTTCCGCTGTCTTCATGGGCACTTTCATGTAGTAATTGCTAGCTGACAACCAAGGGACAGGTCAGTGTGCCCTCACTCATTTGCAGGGGACTGGCTGATTAAGAGCCAAGGCAGGCTGGGAAGCTTTGTGCTCATTTGCAGTGTCACAGTAACAAAGCTACATCCACACAGTAAATGAGTGGTAAAGGGAGGCACCTTACGGGATCCCATGCTCCTAAAAGAATGAGACAAAGGACACAAGATGTCAGCCATCAGTTACCTCTCGAGCAGCGACAGAGAGGAGAGTGTTCATGACTGCCAGGACTTCACCAATGCTCAAGTCAGCCAGGTCACTTTTCTCAGGTAGAAGCAGAAGGCCACCCGGGTCCTTATCACTGTAGGGACACATACCAGTCATGACATTTGGCTTCAGGAAGGGGGCTTTTCATGCTTTCTAGACTGAAAGGTCAGTTTTAGAGGATGGGAGGAATACGGGTCAGGAAGTCAGCTCACACTGGGTTACTGTATCTGTCCACATGTCCTTATGTAAGCATAGACTCATAAGTACTCGGGTTCTTAGAAGAGATCCCGAGGAATAAATCTGATGTATAGACTACCTTGACTGTCAATCTCCTAACTATCTGTAATAGCTTTAAAGACTGTCAATGTAACAACCCAGGCTAAGAATTCCCTGTGTCTTCAGATGTTCTTCACCTGAGAGTCTTAGGCTCCTTCATCAGTCTTGACATTGGATTTTGAGCACACTTTTTATACAGCTTTCTAAGTTTGGCATGGTATCAGATATAGTCTGACCACAGATTAATTAATAGCTTGGGCTATTCATTCCCTCTCTCTCTCAGGAATCTATACCTCCAGCAATACAGTTAATGGGTCCATTAGTTTCCTTGAAAGTGAAAGCATATAAAAATCTCCAAGGCATCCCCTCACCTGCACATCTCCCATTTTCTAAACTCTGATTCTACCTCTTTCCCATGTTTTTGCAGTGTGTTTTAATGTAGTTGGGTTTCTAGGCTTGAGTATAGGACCCCATACTAACATTGGCTTCAATTTTTTTCTTTAAAAATTATTTAAACACTTCAGTGTTCAAAGAGCTCCTCAGTGGGGTCAGGTTTAAAAGTGCTTAACAATGGCTAGGGCTTTGGTTGAGCTCTTGACATGATTACTTTTTGGTTTTTGTTTGTTCAGTGCTGTGGAGCCAGCTCCAACTCATAGCAATCCTGGGTAGGGTTTGCAAGGAGGAACTGATGACTTTGAACTTCCGATCTTGCAGTTCAAACCGACCTTGAGGCCCAGTGCTTATCCCACAGCACCACACCAGGACTCCGACAGGATTACTAGTCTAGCACTACTGCAGACACGCCTGTGCCTACTGTTTTCTTGCTCCGGAAACATGACTTTCTAGTATGTAGTTACCTCGAAACACATAAAAGGAAGCGATGTCTGAAAATACAACTTTGTAAAGAATGGAAATATTTGACAACTGAAAAGAATGATAAACTTACCTAAAATACGTGCACAGTGAGCGGAAAGTTAGCTGCAGGGACTGCTTGTGCTCTTGCTCAGTGACATTCTTCTAGAAAACCAGCAAGTGTACATTTAGTAAATCTATTCTGTGACATTCCAGAGATCTAGAGTAACATGGAGTCATCAACCGCTGTTCCCAAGCATGATGAAAACTAGGGAAGGCACACAGTCTTACAGTCAACTCAGTTCAAATGTATTGATTATGCTACACAAGGCATTGTGGGGATTTCCAGATTTAAGACACAGAGCCTGGCCTGGCATAGGAGGTTAGGGGAAACGCGATAGGGACACAATGAATACACTTACCAGTAGAGAAAACTGCCTAGCACTGGAAAGGGTTGGCGTGGTGGTGGTGGTGGTGGCTGTATGCCATGAAGTCGGTTCTGACTCATAGTGACCCTGCACAGGGTTTCTGAGGCTGTAAATCTTTATAGGAACAGAACGCCTAATCTTTCTCTTGCAGAACAGCTGGGAATTTCGAACTGCTGACCTTGCGGTTCACAGCCCGATTCATAACCACTACGCTACCAGAGCTCCTTGGAAAGGGTTGGCAGTACTGTTTAATTGATTAGCAGAAGAGGAAAGACAACCCCTACCATTGCTGTCAAAAGTGACGGGCAAAGGAAAGTGACTAGGTTGCTCTGCTAAATGACAACAATGTCATCCCAGAGGTCATATGTCCCTTCTTTCTACTTTTCTGTGTGGTAAATACACTAGCAAATAATAATAACTTACTGGAGCTCTGGTAGCGTAGAGGTTACGAATCGGGCTGCGAACCTTAAGGTCAGCGGTTCGAAACTACCAGCCGCTCTGCGGAAGAAAGATGAGGCTTTCTACTCCCATAAAGATTTACACCCTCGGAAACCCTGTACAGGGTCGCTATGGGTCGGAACCGACTCGACGGCACTTAACAGCAACAATAATAATTTGCTCAGCTTCCTGATAAATGCTTACTGAAAACCAGTAAGATAGGGAGTTACCCATAGGCCATATTAGCTGATGTGATCAAAGGTTACAACTCACAATGTGAGAACCAATTCCTCAAGTTTATATTTCCTATGCTCTTTCTCCTCGCTGAAACCTTCCTTAGTTACTTAGTCCCAACATGATTGTCCTCTAAAAGCCCACTCCACATGGACGGGGTTATTTCTCCCTTGTCACAGATGTCCCCAACTAGTCTGCATTTCTTTGGCATCAGGGACCACTTTTTAAGCTTCTCTTGTTTACTCCTCTGTATCTATAGGCCTGTGTATAGCCCACAGAGCACTTTTATTGTATTTGCTAGTTTAGTTGTTGCTGGTATATACAGATGCCTTATTATTATTTAAACCTCTATCTAGGTAACTATTGCTGTTGTTGTTGTTGTTGTTGTTGTTGTTAGGTGTCATCAAGTTGGTCACATTGTTGTAATGCTTGAGCCCACTGCTACTGCCATTGTGCCAATCCATCTCATTGGGGGTCTCCCTCTTCACTGACCCTCTACTTTACCAAGCAAGGATGATGTCCTTCTCCAAGGACTGGTCCCTCCTGATAATATGTCTGAAGTATGATAGATGAAGTCTCGCCATCCTGGCTTCTAAGGAGCATTCTGGTTGCATATTTAATCCAGCACAGATTTGTCTGTATTTCTGGCAGTCCATGGTACTTCTAATATTATTCTCCAACACCATAAATCAAATGTATCAATTTTTTTATAGTCTTTCTTATTCGTTGCCCACCTTTCACATTGCCCTGAAAATATCATGGCTCAGGTCAAGTGCACTTTAGTCTTCAAATTGATATCTTTGCTCTTGGACACGTTAAACAGGTCTTGAGCAGCAGATTTGCCTAATGCAGTATATCATTTGATTTCTTGACAGCTGCTTCCATGAGCATTGATAGTGGACCCAAGCAAAATGAAGTCTTTGGCAACGTCAATCTCGTCTCCATTTTCCTTGCCTCACAGCACTGACTAGGCCCACCAATAGACATTACTAAAGGGAAACAGTGACAATAAGCATTGTTCTCTTACTCCTGATTTGCTGAAAGGAGACCGTCTAGTGACTCATCAAGCATACTATTTATTACAGGTTTCTGATTCATATCTGTCATCAGATTAAGGGCTTTCCATTCATTTCTAGTCTACTAATGGTTTCATTGTTTTACTTATGAGTTTAATTTCATTAAAACTTTTTCCTATATTTACTGATAGAATTTTTTCTTCTCTGATTTCATTTTCATTCAACTGTTAAAAACATCCTTGCATTCCTAGGGCAAATCTAACTCAGTCAAAGTTTGTCTATTGCTGTTGTTAGGTGCCATGGAGTCGGTACCGACTCATAGCCACTATGTTGTCAAATTTGTTTACCTACATTTCATTAGGACTTTCCAAGCTCTGTTTATAAAAGTAAGACAGACTCTTACATCTTATTCCTTAGTTTACTTACATTTCCCTGTGTTTGACCATCAATATAACATTGGAATCACTAAAGTGCCTTGTTTTTGATGTTTTGTTATGACATGTGATAATTAAATACTTTCTTCAGAATTTAAAAACTTGGATCGTTGTACAGGGTATTCCATTTGGTGACAAAATGCTTATGAATTTTGAAAGCATTTTTCACTCCCTAGTACTAATGTGTGAGCAATAGGGGAAAGGGTCCAGAAGAGTGAGAAGAATCACCTGGGAAATACAATTTGATTGTACTATCTTTTTAGATATAAACTGAAATCTTTATGCATAAAATAGGTCAACAACTTACTTAAAAATAATACTGGGGAGAAGGGAAGAAGTGGGTGAGGGATATTACAGATGAAACAAAACTAGTATGAGTTAATAATTGTTCTGGGTGATGGGTTCATTGTGGATAGAGGGTGGGGGGTTCATTATATTCATCTACTTTTGTTTTTGTTTTAGGTTTTCCCAAAATAAACAGTTACAATGTTAAAAAGAAAATATGGTTGCAAATCATAAATATGGAGATTATACTGTTGCTCTGTGAGGCACAGTTTATGAAACAGATATCTGTCACCCACTGACCAGTGCTATGTCCTTAGCTATCCATGTCTCCCACACAAAGCTTCACATACAGTAAATATTAGGTATGCAATTAGAGGATTGAAACTAACGCATATTCAGAGAAAACAAAGACCCATCAATTTCATCCTAAGAGGCCTCAGGAATGGAATCTATGCTTCTAAAGTGAACAATTACCATCATGGTGAAGAGATGGTCCCGCCGGATCTGTCGATCAGGAAAGAAGATGGCAGCCCCATTGAGAAGGGTATTTTTGACTTCTTGTTTTAATATTTCCATGAGCACAGAGTCTTCATTGACCCTATCAATCACTAATAAAAATAAACAATGGAATTAGCATGAATAGATTCTATCTGTTCACTTATAATATATGCTATATTATAATATATGTTGTTTTTGATTGTTGTATACCGTGGAGTCAGCTTCGACTCATAATGACTCTATACAGGGTTTCCGAGGCTATAAATCTTTACGGGAGCAGAAAGCCTCATCTTTCCCTCACAGAAAAGCTGGTAGTTTCGAACTGCTGACCTTGCGGTTTGCAGCCTGATTCATAACCACTACGCTACCAGAGCTCCTTACTGTATATACATCTATATATCTACATCTACATATAATATATACTACTACTACAACATAATATATAGCTACTATAACTAGTCTATAAACTCACTAGTCTTCATTTTGTAGATAATACCAGACCAAACAAATACTTCTGTTACAGGCTAGGGAGTATAAAGAAAATATTTGTTTATATTTAACGAAAGCAAAGACTATATATGCCTGTTTTTATTCTACTTTTTCTGTCCTTTTGAGACATGACTTGGCAAAGCCTTAGAAATAACTCCAGATGTTGCATGTGTTTGATCCTCAATTGCAATCTCTCCCCTCTGTCATCCTCATCCTGAGGTCCAAGGTGTGAAACAAATCACTCTCATTATAGCATGGAGCCCTAGTGGCACTGTGGATTAGGCATTAGGCTGCTAACTGCAAGGTCAGTGGTTCAAACTCACCAACTGCTTGTGAGGAGAAAGATGAGGCTGCCTGCTCCTGTAAGACAGCTTCAGAAACCCTATAGAGGGTCGATATGAGTTGGAATTGACTCAATAGGAGTTGAGTTTGCTTTGGTATATCAGAAACTAGGAGGAAGAGAAACCAGTCGATGAAGGAATTAAACCCTGAACTCAAACAGTGATTCAGAAGAGGGTCAAAGGAACACTAGTCTTCCACAGAAGTCATCCCTTTCCTGGGCTTATATGATCACAGGACCCCTCTTCTGTATGACAGAAGTCCCTGTAGGCTACCAGTGCTGGGTCACAGAGAAGAAAAGTCAAATCCTACCATCACACAAGTGTGTGTAGAGCTCCTTGGCAGCCTCCGTCCTTTCGGGGTTCTGGTTGGAAGCCTTTTCCTCCTCAGAAACAGCTAGCACATCTCCCTGCAGCACGGAGCAGCAGCTCTGGAGCAGTTGCAGAAGCAGGGTTTCAGCACAGATGCATTCTTCTTGTGGGCTACATCAGAGAGCAAAGGAGTTAAGTTTCCTGTATCCTCCAAAGCCAGGCACTTGGCCACTGGACTTGGTAAAAAGAATGTCAGGAGAGAGAAATGCTGGAATGAAAGAACACTGTGCTAGGGGTCTAAAAACATAGCCCCATGCTTTCTCTGCTAACTTGTAGGGCTAGGAAACTCATTTCTGATGCTCAGTTCTTTATCTGATAAATGAGGAAAGTATTATAATATTTGAGCTCTGGTGTGGCACTGTAGGAGAAACACTGGACTGCTAACCCCAAGGCCAGCAGTTCAAACCCACCAGCCGCTCCTCAGAAACCCTACACAGGGTCACTGAGCCAGGACCAACATGACGGCACACAACTACTACTACTATATAACACGTGCCTTCCTTATTAGCCCACAAGATTGTTTTGATCACCAAATGAGAAAATATTTGAAAAAAATACTGCTTAAGTAAGGTACAGAAAGAAATGTGAACCATTAATTTCAATAATCACCAAGTCTTTCAAATCAGAACAACACAGTATATGTAGAAAAGGAAACAAAAAACAAAAAACGACCTGTTTATTTTAAGGATAGTAAACCCCAACATTTTTTAGTTTTGCTGAAATGATTATGACCTTATTATAAACTTGGACTTACTTTTGCTTTAATTTACTATAAAAATTCCAGAAGATCTGCAGATCAAGGCCTGAAAAATCCAGGAATGATTTATGTTTTAAGCCACCTTCCTTTTGCTGTACCTAAAAATTTATTACAACCAGAAAGAAAGAAAGAAAAAGAACATTTAGAGAAAAACTAGAATACTTCATTTACTTCTCAATGTTAAGGATAAGGTGGCTCCACATGACTGAAATTCCCATAACAATAATACATACTCCTAACTACCAATGACTGTGAATAACTAATTTTATTTTCTTAATGTTTTATTGTGAATTATGCAATAGTTTACATGGGAGAACATTCGTTTTACATTCATCCTATAGTATATCATTTCATTGCTATGGTTACAATCCCCTCCATGCATCATCAACCATCCAAAGGGTATACACTACAAGCATGCCCCGCCCCCCGGTCATCATCACACAGCCCCTCTCCCTCTCTGTGTCTAAAGTCCCCAATAGCTCCATCTCTCCACGTCATTGTCTCTGCTTCCATCTCAGGCATCACTGCCTCTCTGGGTAGGGTCCTGCTCTCCGCTCTTCTCCCTTGATGGTCCCAGGGACCTCCGTTCTTAGGCTGAAAAGTTAATCACTCCCTTCCTTGCTAAAAAACGTCTACCTTTACAATTCCATTCTTCACAAGCAGTCCAGATAACAATTATTCACTATTGTGTAACAAGAGATCCATCTGGATTTCATTTCATCAGCCCAGCCTAGACAGATTGTATACTACTCAGCGGAGATTCTACCTTCTTCCATGCCCTATGAATCTAGCTTCCCTCTTGAACGCTTGTAAGCCAGTCACTTCTTGCCTTTGTAGCCCCTCCATTTTGGGTAGCCAATGTCTAAGTTGCCCATCCCTCTCTACTCTGTGTATGGAGGGGGTAGGAATGATCCTTGTTGTAAGGATTTGTTCCCTCTCTTGAGCTACTGCATCCATAGGTGTAGGTCAAGTTCATCAAATTGTACCAGATTACACTTTTTTCCCTCTTCTTTCTTCTTCTGGTTGAGCTCTGATCATCTAGTCATTAAAGCCAGGTCAAGCGGGTATTATCTGCAAGTGTGGGTGTTCTTGTGCATATGCCTTCTCTTCTTATCAGCTGGATGCCTCACTCTCCACTCTAGTCCTCTGTAGCTATATAACTTACTCTGGGCCCAAGAGTCCCCAGGTCTTGCCACACTGCTGGCCAACCAGGTCTCCACCAGGGTTCACAGAAGTCTACTGAACACTGTAGGGCTTAGCTTGCCACTTCATTGCTATTTTTCCCTCATTTCCCCTTATCAGTGTCAAGCATAGTCACCAATCAGAGCGTGTATTCCCACTGAGTCTTAGTCTTGGAAGGGGGTTTGCACTGAGGGGACCCGACCACTTGCATTGATGTTTCCTGGGCAAGCAACTTGCTTGTTCTTGTAGTAACAGTCAGTCTGCCTCTATTGTTTTGTATTTTTCCTGTAGGTCTTTCTTTCAAGAAGTATCTTCTGTTATTCTAGCCGCTCCAGTCTGGTCTGCTAATCCTTACAAGTGGAAATTTCCCATCTCTGAATATCTAGATGTGGTTCAGGCTTCCACCTATAGTCTTATGTATTACAGAGGCTCTGAAGGAAGCCTCCTTCACTGGGCACACTGTAGTCCCATTTTAGGTATTCCGATCAGTTACAGGCAAAAGACAGACTTACAAGCTTTATATGGTGATGTTTCTGGCTATTCCTTTCTCTCCCACTCCAGTGTCTATTTTATAATATAATGCATAATATAATGCAAGGGAAACCAAGATTCAAAAGACAGCCAAGCATCTTAACATTATTTTCCCCATGAACAACTAATTTTGGTGTGAAAATACAGGTGTATTTGTGTATGCATGTGTGTATATGAACATACAAAGGGGGGCTACAAAAAGTTTGTGGAATAACGAAATTAAAAACAGTGAAAATTTTCCATGAACTTTAGAACTCCCTTGTACACACATAGCCACCATACATGCACATGTAACCATGAAGGTTCCTTGACTTCTTAAACATAGCAGCATGAACAAAAATCAAACCTTTCTTTTCTTTTTACACTTTTGGGTGAAAGTGTACAGAGCAAATTAGTTTTGCATTTCAACCAGTCTTCTCCTGCTAGATCTCTGCCCTGAATGCAGGCTGAAAGGAACTGATTCTGCTCATTCTATTCTAAATGCACCTGCTAATTTGCTGCTCTCTGCAGTGATAGGAATGCCTGAATATCAAAGAACAAAGGAACCAGATGTAAACTGAGTCACCAGGCCCTGAAGTCAAATAAAGGTCAAGAGTGGGCACTGTTGCACACCACATGTGAAAGGGCTCTAGGAGCCCACTGCATTTCTGAGGTCAGCCATGCTCTCTGTGGTGACGCTGCAAGAGTCTCCCTCGCATCAAAAACACAAGTGAGTCCCAGTCCTGACATTCATCATAAGGGAATTTACTAAACCTAAGGGTATTTTTATTAAGCAAGCATAATTCACCTACACATCAGCAATCATTCTTGCAGGACTTGAAGAAGGCACACAGCCCATGATCTTGCTTTACTATCAGCAACCACGTGGGGGATCTTTAAGATCTGTCTGTAGGTCTATCCTTCCCAACCATGGCTGCATGCAACTTAGTCCCTCACTGACTGATCCACAGGCCAACATTGCACTCCCCTTGTCCTTCCAGTGTCATCACAGCAACATGATATCTGCTGTATACCCATTCAAATTGCATGGCTTGGACGGAGCCAGGTTTCACTTCCCTTAACTGGTCCTGATTTTCCCTAAGGATTGAGGAGTAACAGCTGAGGAATACTACCAGGTCATGGGCGAGCTGCTGGATGAACTGAAGTGTCTTGAGTAGGAGCGTCGCCCCACAGACACTCTCCTTGGAGTCCTTTCTGCAGTGAGCACAGACGGCGCTCAGTTCTGCGTCAGCTCTGGCGGGCCGGAGGTAGCCGCTGATGCTCAGGCCTTGTACTCCCAGGCGCTCCGCAGATTCCTCACGGGTACACAGGAACTTGACCATCAAATACTAGAAGGGACAAGAGAAGGACTTAGAATCCCTGGTTGTTGAGTAAAGGAACTGAAAGGCCTTCCTGGATGTTTTCAATAATGTATTAGGAACCATTACGTCTAGCACAAAATAAACAGTCAGCAAGAGAGAAAAAACAAACCCATATGCTGAATGAAGTCAGCTTCGGGAAAGACACAAGACATCCTCTTCAAGGCAACACAGGGTGAGAACGGATGAGTAAGAGAAGGGCATTTGCTCTGGAGCACAGTCATTTTAAAACAGCCACATGGTGAAAATAGCCCTAAAGAAATCATCTCGAAGGTCCCAGCTGATAGAAGCAAGCTATCCACTGGGAGCCCAGGACACAATATAAGGCCATTTTCCAAGCCCAACTTCAGTGCAAACGATCTTTCCATACAGTGCTGGCTCCTAATCAAGAGCCTTTCAGACTTCAGTACTGAACTGCAAGAATACTTACTGAGCACCTACTATGTATAAGCTGTAAAGATATTCTTAATTCTCACTCAACAAGCTTCTTACTATGATTCATACTTGTAGTCACATTAGTTACTTCATAAGTTTAAGACCCCCATGGTGTGTTGTTTTCGTCTGGCAGCTCTGACAGTGTACTTGCTGTTTGCTCAGGCTAAGATGCCCATGTCTACAACTTCTCGGTCTGGCTAATCAACTTTGAACACTCAGCACCTTTCCTGAGAAGTCTTCCCTACAAAGTCCAGACCCTAAATGTCCCTTTATCACAGCCCGTATCACAATGTCTCTTCTACTTGAAAATGACAACTGTCTCTCCCACTACACTATGAACTCTTGCGGGTCACAGCCCTGTCCCAATTCACTTCTGGGATTCCAGCACTGACACAAGGCCTGGTCTGCCATAACCACCCAGCAAATACGTACTGAGTAAAAGGAGAGGGGTGGGTAAACATGTGGAGGCCACAACTCACTAATGCTTACTTTCGCAACTCTGCACTGTTGCAACTTGACATCTGCTTCATCCCACTCTTCTTCCAGCTCAAACCAGCCAATAGGATCATCCTCTCCAAGGTCATCAGATGAGCAACCAATCCTGTAAACACAAGGGTAATCAAAAATATTTTCCTATTTCTAAACTCAAAGGTTTAATGAATAAGGTACTACTTAAGTGGCATTCAGTCTGTACAGGAGGACTTCAAAAAGTTCATGGAAAAATGGAATAAAAAGATTATGAAATTCTTTTCATGAACTTTTTGAAGCCCTTTCATATATAGCCTGTTAACAATCAACAGGGTGTTACACATGGTACTTCTTTGAACATATTAGGTAATTTCTTCTCCATTACGCAGCCTCCTCATCTGTAAAATGGTAACTATATCAGCCTCAAATATAGTCTGGGAATTAAGAAGCACGTTTGCTTCTCTGGATAATTGGGTAAACAAAAGAATGAGACATAAAGTCAAGGCATCGTAGGTGACTTACTCAGGAGTGTGGTACAATGCAAAAGCTGGTATGTACTCCTGGAAAGAGCCACCAAAGAGGCAGGCTCAGTTTTATTCCCCTGGCTAACATGTGTGGTATGATCACCCTGAGGTTCAGGCCACTTGTACCAACATGAGGATATGAGACTGATGGCCTTCTGAGCTGAGAGTTCCAACACAGGAAAACGGCAGCCTTCACAGGCCTCAAGTTCTTCCAGGTAAGCATTCAGCCTTGAGGCTAAGGGAGCACATCTGTGAACCCCATCTTTTTTTAAAAGTTGAATACTTAGGTGACACTCCCTTTCCAGGAAATGAATGACTGGGAAGAAGAAAAAGGCAGCCCATCATTGTTGTCAAACAACATTTCTACAAGTTTACACTATTCAATCTATGATACACCTAATAAGCTAGCAATGCACTGGTAGTCTACATGGATACAAGACAAGCAGACAGAGTAAGCAGCAGAAAAAGAAAAGATGAAAACTGTGTTCCCCCTTCTTTTATTTATTTATTGTGAATTATATGATAGTTTAGTTTACATGAGGAACTTTAGTTTTACATTCATTCCATCATATATCGTTTCATTGCCATGGTTCCAATCCCCTCCATGCATCATCAACCAACCAAAGGGTATACTCTACAAACTCGCCCCCTACACTCCCTCCCACCCCCCAGTCTTCGGCCCACAGTCCCTCTCCCTCTCTGGATCCAAAGTCCCCAGCCGCTTCATCACTCCACATCAT